GGAATTTTAATTTTGTATTTGTTACAAGGGTTTAATGATTTTTTAACATTGTTCATTGTGCTTTCTCTAATAAAAATGATCCACACTGCAAGAATTGCAAATTAGAAGTGGATAGTATTAGAACATTAGCCCTTATTAACGGTAAGTGTTAACACGCCCAAATATGCAATACGAAGTTTAATTCTACTAAAACGTGGTTAAAACAAATAACTCAAGTGGGACGGAGAAACTGCTGGTTGTGACAGATGTGTTCCCAGCAGTGCCCCCAAATGTAAAGGACACCACTGAGACACTGAGAGGTCAGGGACATGATTAGCAGTCTTTCTGTTAGATTACTGATCTATATGTAGGCTTCACGATTGAAGGGTCCAGGTGGCCACAACTATAACTCTGTCATGGAACATTCCATAGGTAAGGAGTCTATGCAAATATTTGAGTGACCTAGAAACTTAGTTCTGACAATAGGGAAAGGTCTCCTGAATGCCACTGGAGGATGGACATGACCATTACTAGAGATGGCAGAGCAGTCTCCCTACCCTCTGACCTAGTCCCAGGACTGAGGTTAGCAAGGAACTTTCCTATCCCTCTCACTGGTGGCCAGAAGTCAGCAGGCACAGGGCTGTGTTTCTGAATTTGGGGAAGGCAGAACCCAAAGGGTTTCAGGAAATGGAGGTCATGACAGGGAAGTGGTTGTTCTCCATTAAGCACAGGTGGCAGGACCACCGTGGCTTTCTGAGGCCAGGCAGTGCCATCCACACAGGAGAAAACAAGCATCTAGTAAGGTGGGGGTGGACAGGCAGGAAAACTGGAGTCCTTGCCAGCAGAGATTTGGCTCAGCTCTCTCCTCTGGTCCTAGCTTAGGAGGTGAGATGAGAATGTCACAATTATGGTACCCTTCTCAGGTTCCCAATGAGATAATCATCCAAAATCTCTCTTTGGCTTCCCTGGCTTGGTAAATGGCATCTATGCAGTCTCACTGGTCGTAATTCCAAGCGTCATCCTTGACTCCTCTTAATCCAATCCCACACCTACCAGCAAGTTCTGTGTCCTCTGTGTCCAGTGTCTGTGTGGCTCCCAAAGAATCAGCAAACTTGAAAGGAACCCCAGACCTCCCCATAGCTCAGCCCACGCCCCGCTCTGTTGTTCCTTTATTTGTCTCCTCAACAGCTCAGCAGGTATGCTGAGGTTCTTTCTGTTACTTCCCTGGCTCCCCCTCATTGGTTAGTCTCAGCTTTAAACATTAGCTCACCGGAGGATGGTCATGGTCCACAGTACTCGGTAGTCCCAAGAATTCTATGTGGGTGGATTTGAAGGCCCAACCATAGGCTTTTGCTCACTACCAAAGTGCTAAAATGTCAGCCCTGCTTGTAATGCATAGCTTGGGGTGACAGATAGATGAGCATGACTAGTGACATTACTCTCATGTCTCTTTCTTTAGATGAAAATCCAACTGATAAGAACTTCACTGTCATTATTTGTCCTAGACCAGAGATAAAGCAATCAGGAGAGTAAGTGCCCATAATTCTTAGCCCTATATATCCAGAGACAATGTCATCATCATCATCATAGTGTACAGAATTCGGTATACACCTTGTTGGTGAACCCCATGATAGGCAGGCCTTGCCCGGTGCCCAGGTTCTGCTCAGAGCTGGGAACAAGGGATGATAAGTTCAAGCATCGATACCCAGTGTTCCAGGCAACTTTCCAAAACTAAGACAAAAACTTTGTAAGCCCAGAGAATTGTACAGGCCATGAAACGACACTCGCTTGCTCATACCCCACTGCTACAATGGCAGCAAATGCCATGAAGGCCCCTCATGTCCAGAGCCATACATGTGGCCATAATTGCACAAGTTGACTCTTTGTGCTTTGGGCAATAATCTCATGACTCAACTGTCCACTCTGAGAGGCCCAAGAGCTGGAAGTCCAGAGTTGTTGCCATGAAAAAAGCCCCTGGCCTCTAGGCTGCTTCTTGAGGTCTGCCTTTCTGTGCGTTTAGAACCATCTTAGTTGAAGTTAGCCTGAACAACGGGAAAGACTTCCTTGCCCACACCATCCGTGTGAATACTTCTGACTGTGTGAGTATCTCAAGTGGGTTCGATGGCCCTGGCTAGGCAGAGGCCCTGTGAGAAAACAGATTCTCCTGGGATGGCCAAGATGGGGAGGGTGTTAGGTGAGACCCAGTGGCAGCTCAAGGGACACAAGCACTTTGGGTGACCCATCCTAGTTTCTAGAAAGATAAGGGTAAAGGGGTGGGCAGGTGCCAGCCCCAGCAGCAGCCATCACCACTACTGCCACCCTCCATGTGGCCCATGTTTTCAGCCAAGCTGTTTCTAAGTCCAGGGACCTCACATCAGGGCTATCTGCATCCCTTGCTCTAAGCAGGACTATGACCCCTTGGGGAAGGGTCAGATAGGCTGAGCTCATTGTGAGTGACAACCCAGAGAGCAGCCAGGCGGGTGTCTGAGCTCTAAGTGTGCAAGCGCCCATGAGGGAAGGTGCTCCTTCCCCTGTACAGATGGCAAGCTAGGGCCCAGAAGGAGGGGCAAGTTCCACGCTCTAGAGGTAGGAGGCAAGGCAGGGTCCTATATCTTCGGGGGGGGGGGGGGGCAAGCAGCAGCCTGGCCACTTTTCTCAGAGATCTGGTCCCCTGTAGTCCAGCATATTGTCAGCTGAGACCACAGTGAGAACGGAGATCCAAAGAGTACAGAGGAGTTGGGGCCGCCCTCACTTAGGTTCAGAGCAGAGCCTTGAAGCAAGGCCAGAGCTAGGCAAGAGACCTATCCTCCAGCCCTACTGTGGTACCTTGAGGCCAGGTAACCTGGGAGAATGGGGGGCAGGGGAGGGAGGCAGAGGGATGGCAAGTACTGGGCCTCCAGGAAGGGTGCTCCATAGTGCTCCACGTTAAAGTGAGGCTGTCTGCTAAGGATGGTTATCTTTCTTTCCCACAGAGACCTCCACCAGTGACCACCACTGTTGTCCCTGAGACCTCCACCCTACCACCAACGACAACTCCAATAACCACACCGATAACCTCTACCCCAGAAACTATCCCGAGAATCACTACTGTCCTCACTACTCCGACTCCTCCCCCTCCTCCTCCACCTCCTCCCCCACCTCCCCCACCTCCTCCTCCACCACCTCCACCTCTGCCTCTGCCTCCCCCTCCACCTCCACCTCCACCTCCAACTTCACCTGCACCTCCACCACAGGCCACCGTTCTCCCACCAGCTGAGCCAAGCCTGCAAGTTTTGCTCAGCACCATGGTGCTGGTGCTGATGCTGATCCCTGTACTGCTGTGGTGGATCTGGTGGCTATGCTGCAGACAGGTGAGTACCCTCTGCCCACCCGGGGACATAGCTAAGGGACAACACCATGACATTGACAGCCCGCTGAGGCAGGTGCTGAGCTTCCTTGAGGAGCTCCCTTGGGGTCAGGTGGAGCACTCCAGCACAGCACCAGAGTATGCAGCATTTATACATGTGCCCCGGGATGATTTTCTAACCTTGACTCCTGAGATGTGGGTCACCTGTGGAGCTGAATTACAACAGAACTGTTACTCAGCCTCCTGTACTGCCACAAAATTCATGAAATCATCAACTTTAGAAGAGGAAATTTTTATTTTGGCTCACAGATTTGGAGGTTTTAGTTCAGTGTCCCATTCCTTTCAGCCTGGGGCAGAGTGGCATATTGTGATGAGATTGTGGGGCAAGGAAGTCCACACCTGATCTCCAGTTCTGAAAGGGAAAGAACTATTCTAGGACACACTGCCAATTATTAACTTCCTCCCATGGACCCCCGATGTCCACCCTAGGCTGCAACACCTCCAGATAGCACCATAGGCTGGGACCAAGACTTTAGCACATGGGGCATCTGGGGAACAGTGATCCAAGCAGCAGTACCTCCAAGCCTCCATCTCATCCCTGTCTGTTTGATCCTCTAGGCTCCCAAGGCACTGCCAGCACCTGCACCACCGCCAAAGGTGAGTCGTTCTTTGTATCCTGGTAGTCACATGTCCGAGAGGTGAGTGACCAGCAAATGAGGCATTGTGCAGCCTGTACCCAGGGCATCCCACTACCTCAGCAAAGACAAGAGGTGAAGGGTCTGCAAATGCTGTGGGACTCTTGATATCACCAGATAATGAACAGACCCACAACCTTTCGATAGAGACCTTGGTCAAACAATCAGTGTGAACAGCTGTTCCTACTGCCTAGGTGACTTTCAGGAGACTCCAGTAGACTCTGGTTAATCCTGAGGTTGCAGCTTGGCTTCTGAAGTGGTACCTTCCACATCAAGCCCTGATTCTCATCTCCAAGCTGGGGGTCTTCTAGCTCCTTTGGATCTGTCTTCATCCCTGTCTCCTGGCAGGGTAGAGGGGTTGGCTGGGATCCGCCTAAAGACCTGAGGTTAGATAAGGAGGGTGAACGAGTCCCAGCTGGCCCTGGGCTGTGAGGGATGTCCCCAGGGAAGCACAGGAACAAGGTGGATGGGCATCTGTGGCTCAAGTCAGGTGAGGACCAGAAGTCATAGTGAGAGGCTGGGGCAGGTGGAGCCTGGGTTTGGGCTGGGATAGGAACAGCCTCCCCATCTTGCCGGGACTGTGCCGACTGCAGAGGGGCCTGGGTGAGGATGCCTGTCCAAAGGCCAGAGCAGAGCTGAAGGGACAGTTGCCTGTTATTGATGGCCTAATGCAGTGTCTAGACCAGGCTTCTGCCAGCAAGGGTAACCCTAAGAGAACCAAGGGCAGAGAAGTAGGCTATTGGCATTTTGTGAAACCCTGAATATGAAAACTTCAAGGAGCATGGATTCACCTTTAGTGACTTTGGAGAACCTCCCCAAGATATACGGTGCATCCTCCCATTCACCCTAAAACAACAGTTGAGGGGCCCCACAGCGCCGGGTGCTGCACAGGGCACACAGTGCCCCTGTCCAGAAGCCGCAGACAAAGCTCGGACAGGTTCTCCTCCTCTTGACTAGCCCAGAAAGAAGAAACGACCCTCTCCTCCAGTGTCTCCCCCGGCGCCTGCACCACCAGTGAACTCGCCCCCTATCGTCATCGTCTGCTGCTGCACCTGCTGCAACGTGTGTGTGAGCAGAGGCACAGAGGTGAGAGGACCCCACGGGGGCTGTGACTCCAGCCTGGCTTCAGGGACACAGGCACACCTAAGTCTGACAGCAGAGGCCTGGGTGTGGGAGAGAATACAGCTCGGTGGAGCAGGCCTGGATTGATTTGTTTGAGACCACATCCAATGCCTGCCCCCCACAGCTGGATGGGCAGCGCACAGGACTCCCCCACCCCCACCTGAACTCTCTAGATACTTGAGTCTCCCTTTGGCACTACCTAGGCATTAGGACAGTAGCCACTGAGTGCTCTAACTGGCCAGTCCCTGGTCCTCATTGTTCCAACCCAACAGTGTCTCTGATGCTGCCCTTAGAATGTGGGTAAAGTCAAGACACGCTGAGTAACCGTGAAGCTCATGAAGTCAGAGACAACACAAAACAGAAAGGACCAGCCCTGCAAAAACCTCTGCCCACTGTGAACACTGGCGAAAAGCCAGCGGCCCTGGGCCCGGGGCCTCTTCATGCACAAGGAGGAAAGGAGCTGGCCCAAATGTTTCTGCCTCCTGCTGACAGAGACCCTACAAAGGCATTGCACACTCTTTGGATGGAGTCAGCCCTGGAAAGCAGCCACTCAGCCTGAGGTCCCCTTCTTTCGCCAGAAGGTCTAGGTCCATCATGGGGAGGGAGAAAGCAGCAGAGAAGCAGTCCTGGGCCCTGGACCAGAGAGGACCCATGAGGTCAGCTTTCAGCAAGGAAGAGCCCCAGTTCACACTGGGCTTTGTTCTCTTCCCCTCTCTTCTTCCTCTGTGAGGGACCTATCACTTCATTTTGAGAACCCTGGGTTCTCCATAGTTGTCCAGGCCAGGCAAGAGCCAGCCCTGCCTCCTCTCCCGTGACTGTGAGTGGCTACAGAGAGGTCAATCCACATCTTCCAGAGGTGTGGGGGATGCCTCTGACAGCTACGTGACCTAGCCTGAAGGACCTGGCCCCACCCACTCAGGGCTTTCAGCACCTGATCTGTAGAACCTAGGCCATAGGCTCCCTGACCATTAGAGCCAGGATCTTCTGGACTCTCTGCCTTCCTCTTCTCTGTGCTGGTCCAGGGCACCTGCTTCTGAACAGGACATGTGTGGCCCCAGGTGCAGGCCCTCCCATTCTCAGTGCCTCTCTCCAGGTCTGTGTCCCCATTGTGACTCCCCTAAAGGCCTGGACTTGCAAGCACACATCCGTCAAGCCTCTAAGCATCTCCAAAGCCAGCTGCTGGCTTCTCTTCCCACATAAACACTGCTTTGTCCCAGATTCTGAAACTGTGTCCCACAGAGAGCATCCCAGGCATTCAAAGTTGTAGACTCCTCAAGGAGCATGCTGGGGATTTCTTCACGGTTCCCTTGGGACAGAATCATATGAGGCATCGATCCTTGTGCCTTCTGGGGCAGAGTCTGTGACCTTCTTCCTCATGATTGCATGTGCTTTTCAGGGCAATGTGACCATGTGCAACTTCAATCCCCTAAGCTGCCACCAATTGCCACTGACTTGGTCTCAGTCTAGTGACCAGGTGAGTGGGACCCAGGGTTACTTCTAAAAGGCCTTTTGCGGGATTTTGGTTTGGGGAAATTGTTTGTTAGTTTGTTTGTTTGTTTGTTTGTTTGTTTGTTTGTTTTCCCTGTGCTGGGTTCCCTCTGGTTGGATTTGTGCCTGAGAACATGGGCACGCAGAGCCTTGTCCTTAACCTGAAGATGCTCATGACTTCTGGACATGATACTTATGCAGTCCATGGTTGAGCACTGGTCCAGGAGGACTGGCTGACCGGCATGATTGACAGTGCTGGATTGTCATCTCTGATATGCTTACCAGATAATAAAAGCCCTCAGCTATGGCTTAACCCCGCACTTCACCCCAGTTCCTGCCCAGCATCCGTGCAGCCCTCAACCTCTGTACCTGTCCTGAGATTCTGTACCTAGGGGTCTGGAACAGAAATCAGGTCGGTTTCTATAACGGAAGCCTCAGTCTTCTTTGGCATGTAGCCCCTCCTCTGCCTGCAAAGTGGTCAGAGCAGAGCCTTCCAGACCCCCACTGCCTGTGTCCTCACAGGGGAGTTCCCAACATTGTCTCCCAATGCTCCTCTCACGTAGACCCTTGGGACCTACAGGGTCTCCCACCCATGTCCCCAACATGTCTTCCCATCCCAAATTCTTAAGTGGGCCACAGAGTCCCTTCTGCCAGGTAAGGAGCAAGAGCCACTGGTTCCAAGAATTGGGGTGACAAATCGTTCAGGCCCCCACACCAGGCCGACTTCTGCCTCTAGCCCCGAATCCAGAAGGAGAGTGGAACTTGGAGGGCAGTTCCCAGGGGGGAGGAAAAGAGTCACCCAGGCCCACTCTGTGGTGACGCTGGTGCTGACCCCACCCCGAGCTGGCACTGCCACCTTCTGGGCTCGTGTCAATGACACTTTTGTGCCCTCCTCTCTCTTCTTCCCCTGCAGGGCCAGTGCACCAACCTGGACCTCCCGAAGACCCTCTGCTCTCACGTTTCCTGCACCTCCATGGCCAGCTTGCCCCCAGGCCAGGAGTGCTTGCCCCTGGCCTCCTGTTCTTAGTGCCATCATCTCCCCGACGGTTGTCCCCAGCCACTTCCTTTGCTCCCTCCCTCCAGGAGCCCCACTGTCTCTCCCTCCCAAGTAGCAGACCTCTCAGACACCACAGAGCCAAAATGGAGAGGATTTTGCTGCTAAATTGGACCCAGATATCTGTTCTTGGATTTTAATTTTTAAAGAGTTGGAGTTTGTCGCTTATTAGGAAGTTTGTCATCCAAAGATAAATCTCAGATGTGTTTCTGTTGCATCCAGAAGTACAAAACTTCCTGGGGCCATGTGGCTAGGCATGGATGAGTCCTACCACTTCATCACCGACACACAGGTTCTTAGGTCAAGCTCTCTCTGAAGAGCAATCCCAAATTCATGCTGACTGGTCCCGAGTAAGTTTAATGGTTGCCGAGGCACACCTGGGGCTACAGGTGTGTACCACTGCACCGATCTCTTCATGAAGATGCTGGGGACCCCAAACTCAGGTCCCCGTACCTGCACGCCAAGCACTAACTGAAGTGCATTAACTTTCTAGCCCCCTAGTTAACCATTCGTTTTGTTCTTTATATAGGTTCTGTTTTGCAAAGAAGTTTCAAGTCATGTATATACAGAGATTTTAACAAAGGCCAGAGTGCTCATACCACACTGTCAGACAGGAAAAGGTGTATGGGATAACGGGATGTGGAGCCTAAATGGCAGGTGGCAGGGACCCAGGTGCAGTCCCATGGGGTGGGGTCCAGAGAGAAGGGACACAGATATCCCTAGAGTCTATATTTACCCTGAGCACGTCACCTAAGGTGACATGTAGACATATCCAGAGCAGCCACCTGCAAGCTTACAAAGGGCATTGGGACAACCAATCTCTGGAAACTCAGAGAATAAATATTTATGGTACTTATGATACCAAGAAAGGTGTAGGTGTGCAAGAGACTTAGTTTAATTCCCCTGGAAGCAGGGTGTTTGTGGCAGTCTCTACCTGGTCATTTCTCCGTGGCTGTCCTGACTAAGTCTCAGTCTGCACTTCTCTGAGGCCAGCTCTGGGCTCTCTGTGTGAATATCATACATAGCCTGCCCTACTAGAGAATCTGGGAGCCCGCCCAGCACGTGCTTTGGTCCAGAGTGCTAGTTCCCACGGAAAGCCAAAGGCCAGCTTTTGAATGCAGTGGGAGCCTTGGTGCTGCAGCCACCGTGAACTAGAGATGCAGCCCTGACGGAAGGAGAAAGCATTGCTCAGGAGCCATAGGACTCTGGACAGAGAGTTCTCTGCACTCTGGCCATCCACAGAGACCCCCAGCAGGCTGTCTATGATGATCAGTGTCAGAGACAGCAAGGGAAAGGGCACACATTACCAAGTCCCCCTTGTCACTCTCAGTCTTTTCTAGTTCTGCCTAACCTACCCTAATGAAAACGAAGCTCCCAGCCTAGAAAAAAAGGAAGATGGGGTACAGCCCTCAGTTACCTGACTTGCAGGGAGACTGCCTTTTGTTCCACTATTCATCCCACCTCAACCCCCGGGTCTTTGGGATAAGCAGGATATTATCAGAAAGACTCACTTTGGAGCATCACCAAACCAAAGTAGACAGAGGCCATTCTTATCCTAGACCAGGATGGAAGAGACCCCATGACTGAACACTACCTGAATCTCCAGTAGAGAGCATGCTTGGTGCACCAGAGACACTCTCGGGAGACATCTCCCTGATGGCAGACCTGGGTACCTGGTTGCTCTTTAATGCTTAGGAAAGCAATTTCACCATTTGCTTCAAACATTCTGTCATTTTTCACTAGACAAGAGTCATAAGTCTAGCTAACTAGACACTTGAATTGCAGGACCCACAAATCAATAATTAGAAAAGTCATCAGTCACATCCTACACAATCAGTGTGTCTATTGTGTCCTTTACACATGGTCTGGGCTCCAGGGGGGAATGGATACTTCCTAAAGAAAGATCGTGTGTAATGGTGACAGTCTCCCCATCCCACGAGAGAGTCTTTCCCCATCCTGTTCAAGTTAAGCTGAACGCATCATGGCTTATTTAGGAGTGCTAAAAAGTATGCTCTCCTTGGTCTACTATTAGAGGTAATGTTTTTATTCCTTCGTTTCCTTCCTCCCATTTTATATGTCATTTTAAATAAAATATTTTGCTTAAAATTTTAAATTATTGCAAAAATTGATAACATTAATTTGGGGTGGGTTATTTTTTATTTTGAGATAGGGTCTCACTTTGTAGCTAGGGCTGGTCTCAAATCCTTTGTGTTCCCTCTCTCATCCATAGTATTAGGATTATGGGAACATAATATAAAATTATAATTTTGCTATTAAATGTTAATTTTATACATAAAACAGCTTCAGAAATTTTTGCTACAGCCTCTCATGCTGAAGCCCCACATACACACACACACAGGAATTGCCCGGTATTCTTTGATATGACATGGCAAATTACTTCACTAAACACACTGTAACTCCCTCCATAAAACTGAGTTTCTGTTCATTTCTGTGTAACCTAATGCCGAGTTTCCTGTGGAGCTTCAGATGAGAGCCTCAACCGACTGATTTATCATTAAGAACATAATAAACTTCAAAATCAGTTTGAAATGGTAAATTAAACAACTTTGGTATCTTGTGGTTTAGCATACTGGCATATATAATAAAATACATATCAGATACATTAAAAAATGAAGCCATGTCTCTCTGACAAGGCTGAACTCTACAAAAAATAAAAGGCCTCAATATCTTATTTCTGCTTTCCCCCCAAATTTACCAGATTTGCTTTTCTAGACATCTTCACTTGGAATGTGGCTAAGAAAATCTGCTATTAACATAAAATACTTTCACATTGGCCCTACTACCTAATGAACACATGAACATTAACTTCAACTCCCACAGTTACAAATTTAAAATGCTCCGTGTCTCACCAAGCAGTAAAAATGTGTCTCCTAACATGCATATGTCAGTGACATTCCCAAGTATTGAGTTTGCTGTCATTTTTACTTCCACTCACACCCAAAGATGTCAAGCGCACAGCTCTGGCCTCCCGTTATCTTCTTCTCATGCTGGTCCCTGAACCTCGTTCCTCTCTGAGTCTCCCACCTTAGGGCGGCACACCAGCCTAGAAGATGGGTGTGGGCATTCTGTCTTCTAAGGCAAGGGCCGTGGTCCTGGTGTGCTGTGGGTGCCCTAGAAAGCCAAATGTAAGGGGAAGAGCCAATCAGAAACATCTCTCTAAAAACCTCTCACCCTGAAACCCCAGAGACTTATAATTTGATCATTTGTGCATTTATCCCATGATGGGCACAAAACATGTTACATTCCAGATGTTTGGAAATATCTGTTAGAGAAAGATCTGTGAGTGGTATATAATTCTTACCCTAGTGCCCAGCCCACACCCTAGCTGAGAAGAATAGAGCATTCACCAAGGATGGCGTCATTTGTGAATGGAAACAAGGCCCAGAACGTCAACTTGGAAGTAAAGAAATTGAAGTGAGAATTCACCTGTGCTTTATCACATTAGAGTTCTCGTCACATCTTCCATGACAAGTGAAGGAAGAAGGAAGGACAGAGAAGCAGACAGCTGAGGGGAGAACTGAGATGGATCTTGCTCCCCACACCTTCTGGGTTCTGGACGGGGCATACCCCAGTGTCAGCATAGGGCACAGTCCACAAATCTCTGAACTTGGCCCAACTAAGCAGCCATGCCCCTCCAGCCTACAGCTGAAGAGCCTCATTGATGGACTCAGTCCAACACCCACCAGAGCTGTGTCTTCTCAAGGCCTAGAAACTCTCCTGGGTATTTGCTGAAGCTTCCTGTTGCCTCTTTGCCTTTCTGAGAGCCCCTATTCCACACTCATAGAATGGCAGCCTGTACCAGGTTAGGACAATTTCCACGACACCAGAGAATCTAAAGGTGTTCAGGAACACAACTCCTTGGGAGCAGGAAAGGGTGGAAAGTGACAATCTGTGTGTTAGTTAGCTTTGTGATGCTGTAACAAAATGCCTGGAGCAATTAACTTTTTTAAAAGATGGGTTTATATTTTAGAACATATTTGTTCTGTTACAAAAAATAATCTATATAACAATATTATATACTTATATAGTAGTAACCATTTAAATCGCATTTTTCAAATATTAGATTTCTAAAACTAAATATAAACATTTCAAACTGTAACTATGATTTTTTTCTTTATAAACCACAGTCTAATTGGAACCACAGGTGTGAGTGGATGTAGGTCCAACACTCAAGTGTAGCAGCATCCATCAAGAAAGTATTCCTTCCCGGAGCAACCACAGCTATCAATAGCTCTCAGCTGGGAGAGGGGTTTCATCAGCATCTTCTCCGCCCACGTTTTGGCTCACAGTTCTGAAAACTCCAAGATCTTTGGAGTTTATATCTTCGGGACTTTTAAAAAAAATAGTGCTTCCTGTCAACATCTGGTGGGGCTGGCATATCTCATGAGCCAGGAAGAATGGAAGAGATGGAGGTCGTCCCTTGAAGGATGTGCCCTCCAGTAATTTAAGATTTCCATTAGGATATAGTATTGTTACCTTGGAGACCAGGGCCTTTCATTCAACTCAAAATAATCCATATCAAAACTAAGAAAGTGTGCATTATTTTTTCAAAATTAAGTAAAAAAACAAGCCACACACTGGAAGAAGATCTTGCCACATCTGATAAAGGCCTGGTGTTCAGAATACACAATGTAAGTGAGTCAATATGACAGGATAAACACCCTGGATAGAGAAAGAACACATACACACAGCCTCTTCAGAGGAGGAAACAAATGCCCAGGGCACGTGAACAGATGGCCAGCCCACTTAGGAATGAATAAAAGGCAGATTAAAGTCGCAATCTAAGAGATACCTATTCAATGGGAAAAACTATAAACTATGACATAAGAATTGTCCTGGAAGATGTGACGAGAACTCTAACGTGATAAAGTATCCTAAATCTGATCAATTTCAACACGTTACTTATTTGAGATAGTCACTAAAGACAACAGCAGAAGGAAACAAGATTTCCACAGACTGAGTGCTATCCCTTGTAAACTTTATGCTGTATATATTGAGATTTATTTTAGAATTAATTAGAGGGAAGGTTTCCATTTTTAATGACTTTTATGAGCATACAGCCACAAAAAGAAAAGTGACCATGGAATTTCTAAACATGGTTTCCCTCACACTGTGGGTGGTTCGGAATCCCTTTTGAATGCAGTTGTCTGGCATTGGCACCATCTCTCCCCACCATGCCCCCTCTAGCACTCCAGGTATTCTGTGCAGAAGGGTGAAGCGCAGGGCGAGCCCACCCACACTTCTCTCCGAACCTTGACAGACCGGTGAGGCTCTGACTGGAAGACAGCGTCAATGACCCCATGCCTGGTGAAGTGATGTCATAAAGGGCTCCACATCTCAAACTACTCACTGCAGACACTGTCCTCTCAAGCTCTGGGCCTCCATGAAGAAAGTCATGCCCACGGATGCTGTGAAGAGGCCCGAGTCACAGGGAGAGACCACAAGCTAGAGCTTCGTGACAATCCCAATGGAGTCCCACTCTGGAGCTCCTCAGCCCCGGTGCCACAGAGGACGAGGAAGCTTCCAGACAACTCCAGTCTCTCCTAGTGCTCGGGACTCCCTAGGTTCCTTTTCCCCAGGGCCTCCCACTCCACCTTTCCTGTGGGTCTGACCCACTTCACCTGAGATCACAATAAAATGGTTCTGTTAGGCCATCAGTTGGGCAGCTTGTAACGTGGCAGTGGATGGGTGAACTATTCCACTCACAGGGGACCCTGGCAGTAGCACACAGTCTCCATCTCTGTTTGAAACCAGACACTGACTGTTGATTCCGGGTCCCACAATTGGCCTCCCACTTCCTACACACTTGACCCTTGGTGTCTTGATCTCTTCACCCACAGTAACTGGTGAGCTCGGCCATCTTTTCAATTAACAAAACACCTGGGTTCCTTGAGGTGTCCCCCTAAGGATGCCCTGGGAGGGGCTGGGATTGGAGACAAGGAGGCCTCATCTGAGCCTCCTGCCAAGGGCCTATGACTGCCACTTGACACTTCAGCATAAAGGTGTTGAGCAGAGGGGCAGGTCACAAAGTCACCATGTCAACCTTCCTGTCCATCACAACCCCAGGGGGTTTTGTCCCAAGGTGGGGGAAGGGCTGTGCAGGTAGTTGGGGGAAGGGTACCCCCCCAGCAGCTTCCCCAGTCCCCGTGCTCTGAGTGTGCCAGGTGGAGTGCCACCATTGACGGCAGGACACGGCGGTGGTCCTCAAGCCCTGGGTTCAGGCAGAGGTGGTGGGGAAAGAGGCCGGGAGTGGCTGTCCTTCAGCCTACATGTGACCTTCCACAGCGTCCCAAGAGTTAGCAAGGTCCCAGGGACAGAAGACCATAGGGATTCACAAGCCCCGCATGCCTTGCTCCACACTCTTTCTGCTCCTGCTCCTGCTGCCTCCTCACGACGTTAAAGCTAGGAGCCTCCGATACCATGGCCCTGGCTGGAAACTATTCCCCCACCTGGGCAAGGACTTCAGAACTTACAACCAACGCCAGATCCAACACATGAGGCAAAACTTGCGCCAGGGTCGAGCGGAAGAGGACTGTCAGGGTATTTTCGACCTCTACTTCGTCCTGGACAAGTGAGTTTCCCTCCTGCACTGTCCCTAGAGAGCCCTTGGGCATCAGTGGTAGGTCTGACTCTTCAGGACAGGCAAGATCATTGTGGCCAGACCCCAGGATGTAGGCTGCTATCATGGACTTCCTGAATACAGGGAGGCCAGCACAGGCCTTCTAGATGGCTCTGTCCCCAGCATCTTGACCCTGATCTGGTCACCATATCCCTCAGACCCAAGGGCTACTGGGAGGCACCTTTTCTACCATGTGAACGGTACCCACAGAGGGACCTCAGAGATTGCCACTGCCGCTGTGGGCACTCTCGAGCCTTGCTGCTCGGAATAACCTTGGTTTGACTGCCCTAAGGGTTCAGCTTCTTTCTCCAACGCAAGAGTCATGGACAGTTCCTATCCTAGGGAGAGTCTGTTTTTTCTGTGTGGTAGGTAAGCTGAACTGGTCTTTAGACACCTCCTGGCTGTCAAGGGAGGGACTGGAGACTGGATCTGAGACCCAGAGAGAGGCTCGGGGTTCTCTGGTGGTGTCCCATCTAAGTATCCGATTCTTCCGCTTACAGAAATTTGCCATGTGCTCTTGATTTTTATAAGATGGGAAATCACGTTTCCACTGTGATCTCCGGAGTTGAGCCATCTGGCTTGTCTGTATTTTTCTCCTTTATTTCCATACATGTACGAAATGTATTTTTACCACTTCATTGCCGTTTCCCCCCCCTCCCCACTAACCCCCTACTCTACTATCTCCCTTCTACTTTGGTGTTTGTTTGTTTGTTAATGACCCAGTGAGTTTCATTAGGTCGTTTGCAGGAGCATGGGCACCCAAGCTGTGGTTACACCACTGGAGAAACTCTCTCCCTCTCCAAGCAGCCATTAACCACAAATAAACCCTCGGGGGGTGGGAGGGTTGGTCCCATAACAGTATTGATGACCCTGGTCTTGTGGAGATCTTGGGCAGGCAATCCTAGCTGCTGTGAGTTCAAGCGTTCAACAGCCATGTCATGCCAGCTTTTACTTTTTTTTTTAACCCAATCTTGGGTGATATTCCCTTGACCTTAGAGGATGTGATATAAATGTTTCATTTTGTCTGAGTGTTTGACTCATTCGACTTGGAAGCAGTCATTACTCTTTAATCAGTTATGAGCTTCTGCAATTGCTGCTCATTGATAAAAACAAACAGACAAAAGCATTGGTGGTGGCAGTAATCTGCAGGCATTCTGATAACAGTTATTTAGAAGGAAGTTTAATGGGCACATTGTATCCATTTAGCAAAAGAACAGCAGCTTCCCCACTGAAGTCCATGATCTCCTCTGCCCCAGGCTTTTGACTAGGTTTTTCATGACAGATAGGAAGTCCCTTTTGTGGCGTGGGACTCAAACGCAACCAGAAGGCAACTGCTCATCCATAACAGACCTGCTTCAATTGCATTAATGGGCACAAGGCTTGCTTGGCCGGTAGTGTGGCATACAGGTTCTACAGCTGAGTGAGCTGACAATTTCTCCCATAGCCTGCGTAGACCTCCCGGCAAGGTGGGGGCTAGCCAGCAAGGGAGGTAACTTCCAGGGCAGTTCCTGCTGGATTTCTCCGTGTCCCTCTTCTGGAGTGTATGGTGTCTTTGGCAATAGGGTCTTAGCATCTAGTTCTTATGGGCAGCTAAGAGCGGTGGCAAGTGCCTGTGTTGCTTTGGGGGGCCTCCCTGACCAGTAACTCTTAGGGAGATAGCCCACCTCTGGTCCACCCTTCAAGTTTTTAATTTTTTTTTTTTTTTACTTTCTAATCAGATTTCAGAGTATCACATTTCTTTAAGGCTTTTTCTTTTTTTCCATATAGAATAAAGACACCACAAGACCAAGTTCTTAGTATAAAGGAGATTTTTTTTTCCCCCGAGAGGGACAAAGGGCAGGGACTAAGAAACAAAGACAGGAGATAGAAGATGAGGGAGAAGGGGGTATTTGTCCTGGGGGAGAGGGAGGTGGGGGCACAAAGGACCGCCCCTGGATAGAGAAGAGACAGACATGGCCCATAGGCAAATGGCAGTTTATAAAGGTAAAGGGGGAAACCCTGAGTTAGGATGAGGTGTTTAACTTTAATTGGGTATGTTAATTAGGGGACCTAGAGGGGACTTTTGATTGCTGGACTTCAAGACTTTGATAGCTGAACCTTGCTAATCAGCCTCAGGAGGAGGAAGTGACCGAATAAGGGAATAGACCTTGGTGGCTAGCTTTAGGAATGTCATCTAACAGTTTTTAGCAGGCAGAGGGAATGGGGAGAAGGGCAAGGCCTGCCAGGGCCACATGCTAGAGTGGGCTAGTGTCCCTTCAGTTGTTCCTACCCTTACCGACTCCTCTCCCCAACCCCCTACCCTGCCCCCTTTCTACCCTCAGTGATTCTCTTCCCTTCCACGTCCCTCTGCTTCCACATTACATGGGTACACGGGCTCTCCTACCCTCCTGCTACCCTCCTCCCTTAGCCCTAAAGCCGCCTTTTCCCTTCTCATGGGCCTCTTTCTCATTTCTTAGGATATACACACACTCCCACGTAAATGCACATGCATAAAAATTAGAAGCTAGAACTCACATACCTTAAAAGAAGTTTGAACAAGGTACCCCACATTGGTGAGCAATGCTGCTCACAGAAGGCAGGGGTTGTTACATGAAAATCTCAGTGCCAGACATGGATACCTCTCCATAAGTTATTGGTTTGGGGACCCCCAGAGGTACCCAAAACAACACAAGCTATTGCCATGTCTCTTGGCTGTCCACCTGATTGCTGAAGACATCACATACTGTCGTTATAGGACACAGAGAAATTAACCTTGAACTGACCAAGTCTCTCTCTCTCTCTCTCTCTCTCTCTCTCTCTCTCTCTCTCTCTCTCTCTCTCTCATGTATAGCTTTCATAGCCCTATAAGGTGCTATTCAGCCTGCTGAAGGGGGAAAAAATTAGGGATATTTATCCAGCGCTGGGCACTATATGCCACAATACTGACCTGCCAGGCAAGACATATAGTTCAATAGTAGCATAGGAGTCACAATAATTTCATTTTTCTTTATGATGGAAGAAAAACGCCATTGTGTGTGTGTATATATATATATATATATATATATATATATATATATATATATATATATATTTATGCCATGTTTTCATCTGGACAGGTTCCATTTCCCTGCTATTGAGCGAAAATGAACAAAGATAAGCAAGTATCTCTGTGGTAGGGTATAGAGTCCTTTGAGTATATGCCCACACGTGTATTTCTGGGTTGCATAGTAGTTTTTGCTTTAGTTTTTGCTGTTGTTGTTTTCTTGAGAAATGTCCATACTAACATCCATAGCACTGCCAGTTTATACTGCACCAACAGTGAACAAGGATTCCCTTTCTCTACCCCCTCACCAGCCCTTACTACTGCTGGTTTCTAGTGACTGCCATTCTGACAGGATAGAGGTAGATGCTCCAAGTGGTTTTAATTGATACTTCCCTGATGGCTAAAGATGGTGAAAACTTTATCTACTAGTCATTTGAATTCCTTCTTCTTGAGAATTCTCTATTCAACTCCTCAGCCACCACCACCACCCTTTTATCTGGGTGGTTTGTTGTCGTGTTGGTTAGATACTTAGCTCCTTGTCTGTTCTGGATAGGAATCCTCTGTCAGATGTTTACCTAGCAAAGATTTTCTCCTGTTCTCTGTGGGTTACATTTTCATCAGATTAACTATTCCCTTTGCTATAGAGAAGCATTTTCATTTCCTATGGTCCCACTTGCTGATTGTTGGCTTTATTTACTGAGAAATGGGAGCCTCATTCAAAGTGCTCCCTGTATCTTGTGGTGTTTTCCCTACTTTTCCCCCTTGCAGCTTTGGGGCTCCCGGTCTGACATTAAGGTCTTACACCCATTTGGAGTTGATTCCTATGCAAAGTAAGACACGTGGTTCTACTTTATTCTTTTACGAGTAGATCCTCAACACCATTTGTTAATGAGGCTGTTTCTCCACTGTATGTTTTTGGTGCCTCTGTCAAGTTCTTGGGTGGCTGAAGACGGACGCATGGGGTTATCTGTGGGTGCCCTAGTCTGTTCCGCTGATGTATGTGTCTGGTTTCTGTGCCAGCACTATGCTGCTTTTTCTTTCTTTGTTATTATGGCTCTACAGTATAACTTGAAATCAGATATGCTGATATCTCCAGCATTATTCTTTTTTGCCAGTTTTTATAAGTGTTTTGTAGTTTTACAAGTGTTTTCAAGTCTTTTACACTTCCACAGGGATTTAATTTTTTTTTTATTTCTATGGAAAAAATGGCATTGAAATTTTAATGGAGATGGCACTGAATCTATAAACTACTTCTTCTATGACTGCCGTTTATACAATGCTAAATTCTTCTAATCCACCAGCATAGGATGTCTTTCCATCTTCAATATCTTCCTCGATTTCTTTCTTCCATGTCTCAATATTTACGTTGTGCTCTAGCACTTATGTGGACAAGTGTATTTCAAGGCTTTTGTTTGAAGCAATTGTGAATACAATTGTTTCCTCGATTTCTTTCTCATATGTTTGCAATTGGTGTTTAAGAAGGATGCTGGATTTTACCCACTGTGTATCTTGCCACTTTGCTGAAAGTGTTTAGCAGCTTTAAGAGTTTTCTAGTGGAGCCTGGAGGGTTTTGTGCAGGGAATCATACCATCTGAAAAGAAGGGCACTGTGCCTTTCTCTTTTCTATGCCTCCCTCCCTCTCTCCCTCTTGTCTGATTGCTTTAGCTAAGGTTTCTGTCAGTTATATCAAACAGGAGTGGAAAGAGGATACCCAGATCTTGTCCTTAATCTTAGTGGGAATATTGGTTGTTTTTTTTTTTCCTCCATTTACCAGCATGATGGCTGTAGGTTTATTATTATTTTTGTCGTATTTTGGTGTATCACCTCTGTGTTTTCAGAGCTTTTTGTCATGAGGTGATGTTGGATTTTGTCAGATCTTTTCTGCATGTATTGAGATGATCATGTGACTTCTGTCCTAGAGTCCACTTACATGGTGTATTACTTTTTATTTATTTTCGTTTGTCAAACTATCCCTGCATTTCTGGAATAAAGCCAATTTCATCATGATGCGGATCTTTCTGACATGTTCACAAGTATCGAGAATTTTTATATCTGTGGTCATTGATGGGTACTGGTCTGCAATTTTATCTTTTTTATTGTTTTGTCGTCCTCTGGTTTATATTATCAGGGTAATAATGGCTTTGTATAAAGGATTTGGAAGCATTCCTTCATTTTCTATGGTATTGAATGATTTGGAAAAGATTAGTGTTCATTCTTTACAGATCTAGTAGAATCCTGTGGTAAATTCATCTAAGCTTAGATTTGTTCAGTTGGGAGGCTTTTTTTAAATTACAGTTTCAATCTCATTGCTTGTTTTAGATTTGGTTAAATTACTTAGCTCATCTTGATTTAACTTTGGTAGGCCATATGCATTAGAGATCCATCCATTTCTTTCAGATTTTCCAATTTAGTGAAATATATATCTTAAAATCTTCCTGAATTGCATTGGTGTCATTGTAATGTCTCCCTTTTAATCTAATTTTGTCAGTTTGGATCTGTTTTTTAAAAAAAAAAAAAAACAAAACTTTTTTCCCATTGATTTTTTTCATTCCTATTTATAATTCATTAATCACTGTCCCACTCCTAAGTCTTTCTTTACATCTACTAATTAGGGGGTTGGCTTGATAGGTCCTAAGGTATATTATTATTCATTTGAAATTGGTCTGATTTTTCAAAGTTAGACTCTTATAGCTATGAACTTCCCTCTTAAGGCTGTTTTTATTGTATCGTGTAGGTTATTGTATCATTGTACATTATGATTTTGTTTCTAGTCATCGCTAGAGCTTTTTGATTGATTTTTTAAATTGCTTCAGTGGCCCGGTATTGAATGAGTATTGTTGTTTAGTATGGTGTGTTGTTAAATCTCCATGTGTCTGTGTATTTTCTTGAGTTTCTCTGTGCCTGGTTTCTAGCTTTATTCTACTGTGTTCAGAATAGAATAAAAAAAATCAACTTTCCTGAATTCTTATGAAATTTCCTAACTCAGGTCCTCACACTTACACATCACCAGTTCACCCAATGAGCCATGTGTCCAGCCCTTTGGAAATATTTTCTATGCCTTTGTCTGAGATTATTCTCTATTTTCTATGCCCCTAGTTCCTAGATTTTGCTTTTTATGGTGTCCCAATGATTGCACATGTTCACTTTTTTAAATGTTATCATTATCCTTAACTGAATATTCCCGTTTCTCTACGCTTTTCTCAAGCCCTCATATTCTGTCCTCTCATAATCCATTCTGTTTGTGAGTCTTTCCACTGAGCATTTCATTTACTTGTTAGTTTCCCTCATTTCCAGCATTTCATTTTGGTTCCCCTTCGGCATTTCTATCTCTTCACTGAATTCCATTCTCATACCCTTTACTGACTCCTTTATCTCATGCAGCTGTTTGGGTTCTCTTGTGGTCGGAAGCTGATCCATGTCCTGCTTCATTTCTTCATACACATTTATAACCACTGTTCATCTGTTTACTCTCCGTGAAGAGACAGAGCAGGAGAAAATAGGCCCAGGGATCTGAGAGTCCTGATGGGACAGCCCCTGGCTCTTGTACTAATTGGAAATGACAACCCCAGGGCAGAAATGAGCAGATCTGCAGCTGCCTTCTTTGGCAGCACCTGCTAGAAATGCTGATCCTGGCTCAGGACAGCCAGGCTTTGCAGGATGCTCAGGACGCTGTGATGCATAACTGCCCCCAGCACTGGGCCACTGTAGCCAAAGCCCAGGAATTTCCCTTCATTCTGCTGTGGATGCTGGGAAATATGGAGGAATGTATGGAATCTGTGGTTATCTGTTACTCCCCTTATCACTGTGACAGGATACTTGACAGACTTTATTTATATTTCTCTAATGTGGGGAAGAGTGAGAAAGAATACATCAGTCTGACAATTCTCCATGGCAAAGTTTGTGTCGTGGATGGGTTTTCAGAGTCAAAGCTTGCCCGGTAATTGCTAAACACTGCAGAGTCACCTAAATGCATAGACCACCCATGAGACTTGAAGGAAGATCTGGGTTCAGCCCCTCGATGGTGTGACTATTGTAAAGCAGACAAACAAAAAACAATGGAGAGCTTTTATTTGGTTTATAAATGGCTCAATGGTCCAGTCTATCCTGGTGAGGAAGACATGACAGCTGCAGCTGGTGTGACATGGTGGCCAACCAAAAAGCAAAGAGCTTGGAAGACCTACAACCCTCAAGACCCAACCTGTGCCCCAAATGTTCCACAACCTACAGAGTGATCTCACCTGAGGAGTAGCTTTCATCCCTAAGAACCCAAGAGTTCGAGGAAGGAACTATAAGCCAAGCCTGGGTCACCCTCTAGGCTTTTCCTAGTGTCCAGCCTTCTGATGACAATGGTGCCACTAGCCCTGTTCCACCTGCTCATGGACAAGACTAAGAACTGGCAAGTTAAAAGTCAGTAGAGTCAGGGTGGAGAGCCTCACACATCAGAACACTGGGTAGTTCTTCCAATCAAGACATCTTCCCTCATTATGAGACTACATAGCCCTCACCCAACATAACCAGGCACCGTGGTGAGCCACTAAAGGCCCTTCTTGGGACCTCACAGTCTCAGTAGATGAGGCTGTTTGGCTCCCTTCTGTTCACTACTGGTCCTGAGGAAAGTCAACTCTCATGATGATCCACCATGGCACCCAGTGGAAGACTAGGAAGGCTGAAACTATCCCTCCCTACCCTACGTCATACCTTGACATGTGTCTCCTCTGTCTTCAGGTCAGGCTCTGTGGCCAAACACTGGAAGGACGTTTATTCATTTACGGAGAATTTGGTGAAGAAATTCCAGAAGTATGGCTTCTCCTGGCTCTTGTCTCCTCTGTGCTTCAAGGGAGTAGCCCTCTGAGAGACAAAGAGCATGTCTCTTAGACTTGATGGACATGAGATTCCTTCATAGATGGCACATAGATCCAGGATGGTGTGCTAACATGGGGGACAGAGTCTAGTGGGGTATCTGCAGCACTAGCTGATCCTGCTTGGGGGTTAGGTGTAGTACAGGGACAGAGTCCACCTTCTTGGACTCCTCAGAGTAGAAAGGAAGGATGTCATGGTAGGTGTTAATCTACACCTAGTATAGGATGCTCAGGGCCAGAGGAGTGGATTGGGGAGCTTGTCATGGAAAGGCAAAGGAAAGGCAGGAGCCCTCAGATAAAAGTTTCAGGGTCCTAGAGAAACTGGAAATGTGAACTGAGTCCTCAAGCCCAGAGAATAAACAGGGTCACAGAGTGACATCACTGTGACTACAAGACTTATCAGACACAACTTAAGAGAGGTGTCTATAGCTCAGAGGTTCAGAGGGTTTCAGTCTAACCTTCCCAGGCATGGCAAGAGGAGCATGTAGCCAAGGCTATTCACACAATGGTAGACCATAGCCGAGGTTATTCACACTATGGTAGACCAAGAAGAAGAAAGCTAATGGCAGGAACAGGGACCAGGCTATAATTGTCAATGGTCTGTACTTAATGATCTGCTTCGACCAGCTAGATACCACCTCAAGATTCTATAGCTACCCAAAATAGTTTTACCAGATGGAGAGCAAATGCTGAAAACATGGAACTGTGAGGGATGTTTCCAACTCAAACTATAGCAGTTACCCCCAGTAAGCGAGTGTTCCCTTAGACTAGGGAGTCAAGGTAACTCAGGAAAGGCTGGGAGAAGAGGACCACAGGTAGCTTGAGGACAAAACCATGGTAGACATCATGCTAAGCCAAGGGGATCCGATTTCCTACTGTGCACCATAGAGAGAGAGAGGAAGGGGGGGCCTGTGTGTGTGTGTGTGTGTGTGTGTGTGTGTGTGTGTGTGTGAAGGGTTTCCCAGACAGAGAGTGATGTCCTTGAGTTGGAGGCAGGGAGGGTGAAGAAAGGTGCTAGAAATACAAAGAGTTTGATATCCAGGCCCAGGGATGATGATGCCCCTATGGGGGAGTGTGGGAGCTTCTTTGCCTGTTCATAATGGGTGATGTGAGTGTGTACATATGAAAGAGGAAAGTATAGAAGACAAGGGGAGAAAAGAGAGAGGGGGAGGGGAGATGGAGAGAGAGAGAGACTGAGGAAAGAAGAGGAGAAGAGAGTCAAAGCATGGGATGGAGCAGGGGGTTGTCCTGACTTTCTCTTTCTTCCCTGGACCTACATATCTCCATGGGCTTTAGAATCCTTTGCCAATTTTACCTCAACACCTCACCTCTGAACGTCCCCAGTGCAGAAGAGCTGGGGTGGGAGGAGGGCACTTGTGCATGTCTGGTCCCTGACAGGCTGCTGATCTAGTGTATTGGCTTCGTCCCTAGCTCTAAACTGCGGATGTCCTTCATTACCTACTCAACAGATGCTGACATTCTCATGCCACTCACCTCAGACAGGTAAGTGTTGCTCTGACTCCTAAGGCTAGCCCAGTGGCCAGAACACCTGGATCTTGAGGAAACTGGGGGCTTGTAGAGACCTCTGGAGTCTCCCAGCATCACCCATCCGTAGGGGACCTATATACCTAAATTGACCCCCAGCCCTAGTCTGCTAGCACCCTTGGACCTGTACTTAAGCAGAACTTATAGGCCTGATACTTCTCGAAGTTCTCCACTCCTGAATCTAATCTAGGTCCTGTCTCTAATAACATATGGGAGCTGGTAAGGTATATATGTCAGTACCTTTAATACCCATAGTAACAGGGAGCTGGTGAGATATATGTGTTAGTCCCCTCAGAATCCTGGCCCGTGTGTGGCCTGCTGTGAACAGTCACTCTTCAGTTGGGCAAGTGAAGCAAAGAGACAACTGGGAAATCCTGAGGAAAGAACTGGTGTGTGGGGAGGGCAGCCAGGTCCCCTACGATCATAAGTAAGGAAGCCTTAAGATGGGGTCGTGAGTCACCTATAATGAGTGACACAGGAAGGTATGGGCAACAGGTAGGCGCAAAGTGATGTGGCCCAACTGTGCCCAGCATCCCAGAGGTGTGAAGTTGGGGCTTCTGACTAATGAGACGGGAAGCTCTCCCAGAGACCCCATACAAAGTTAAAAAACCAGAAAGAGGTGTGTGGACATTTAGGATTGGGATGTCCAGAGGTGTGAAAATCTCTGTCCTGGGTCCTAGAGAAAAAGCTGGGGGAAAAAGTTAGGGAGGCCAGTCAGCCTCAGGGAAGGGACAAGAGGAGTCTCCGAGTCTGTGGACATTGCACCTGAGGTCCATTTGGGAGGCGGGGCAGGAAGAGGCTAGCTCCCAGGGGTCCAGGAAAGGCCTGGTGTAGCATACCCTAGTGACTTAGTTTTGGGAAAATCTGATTAAATTCGAGTGGCAGAGAGAGTTTCTGAGGGCAATTCTGGCAAGGGGTATAGAGAAGCAGCGGGGCATAGGGGAGGCAAAAGTAGAGCCTGGGCGGGCAAGCGGTTGTCCCGGGCTGGGTGGAGGAGTTGAGCCTGGGCTAGGTGGAGGGCAGAAACAGGAAGCGGATAGTGGGCTAGGTCAGGCAGAGGATAGACCAGATAGAGGGGTAGGTGCTGAGATGGGAGAAGGCTGGGGGCGGGGCAGAGAGTCGGGCTAGGCTGGCCAAAGGGGAGAGAACTGGATTGGGCTGTGTGCCAGCAGAGGGATGAGGGTGGGACCGGGGTTGGGAGTCCCTGGTTTGGCCCCCATTAGGTGTGTTGAGCAGGATCATCTTATATTCCAGGAGGATGTATCTGGGCCAGTCATGGGGCTCTCAGAGCTCAGCCCCTGGTACGGCCTCTCTGCTCCCCGATAGGAAGGCACCTTAGAGTCCACTGTGGATCATCTTACTAGGCCAGCTCACCCTTGTCCCATTAGATTATCCTGAACCTCATACCCCTTTTCTTGACCTAGAATGACCTTCAGACCCAGCCCTGCCTGCCTCAGTATGTTCTGTTTTAACAGTACCTGACGGCCATGTTGCTTCTAGTCCAGGAACCAACACAGATGTCTGATGGACAGCCCTCAGGGCCCACCTCCCAGGTTCAGGACTTCTCTGATGGGAGCTTGTGAAGTCTACAGTTGGGCTCATATCTAAGTAGACTGGCCACTTGCTGCCTTTAGCAGACTGGGGGGAAGGGAATCAGGCCAGGGCTCTGTGACAGGAGCTAGTCAGTAACTCAGCAAGGTGACATGGCCCCCTTCAGTCCTACACAGTAAATGATAGACTACTCAGGAGGAGGGTGACCATGGCATTGGGTTGCCCATTCAGAATGCATATACCCCCCGTGAACCCCTAGCTTAAATCCCAGAATGTTCTCCAAGAACTTAACGGGCAAGGTCTCTGTCTGAAACTCCAAGGCCTGGGTGCCCAAAAACATAGATGAACTCAAAGAAATCCAGACCTTCCTGTGGGACCCACTGAATTCCCGGCCCCCTCCTGCCTCAGTGCTCATGAGGTCCAAGAAAGGCCCAGCTCAGAAGGGAGAGACAGAGCCTCTTGTCCCGTGCCCTCCTTCAGCCAGGTGGTGTGCTCAGTAGACAAGGCCGGAGGACAGCTTGGAGATGTCTAGCCACTGGCAATATCCTTCATGCTGTCTTTCTTTTTTATTCTTTTAGAGAAACAATCGATGATGGCCTTTTCAGACTCCAGAAATTGGTGCCTGAAGGACGTTCATACATGCAGAAAGGATTTATGAAGGTACACCCAGCTGCAGCCACCTCTGGGTGCAGGCTCAGGGTAGAGTGCCATTGAGGTCATTTCACTGTATCACCATTTTGTTTTCTTAATTTGCTGGCAGGCGAATGAACAGATCAGAAATGCCACCTTGGGAGGTAAGCTGCTTGTATCTTCAGTGGGGCAGGCCCCACAGAGCTGAGCCCCCTACAGAGTCTGTATGTGCACATCCTGGATCTCTTCAAGTCTGACTCTTGAAGCTGTTGCTCCCCTCTCTGCTCAGCTGACCCCTCTGAGCACAGCACTCCACTCAGGATGCTTCCAAGAGGACCAGAAGCTGCATGTGGTCATCTGTAGGCTTTGCTCCCACTGGTCCTTGGCCTACAGATGTGCTGGGAAATAAGAAGAAGAAAACACAGGGCCTGAGCAGACTGAGGACCCTGTGCTGGAAACCAAGGCTTGGCTTCCCTCTGGCTGCTAAGTATTCTCTTCTACCTCTCGTTTTGTTTGGCCAGCTTCCTAAGCCCAGGAATCAACCATGCCCCGCCAAGACCTGTGTCCCTCTGGACTACAGGCCTTGTGGAATTCCCCTTGTGGGGAAATTCGATGAGGGGCCATGCTGTCCCGTGCCTAAGAGTTTCTGCCATGGAGTCTTGTTGCCAGCAAGAAAGTAGTTAGTATAACAAAACTTATATTTTATTATGCTGAGGGTCATCACACAAGGCTCACACTCTAAATTCCTCACTAAGTCCTAAGCCTTTCTTCCTAAGACTCCTCACCTGTGTGATGTATCTTAGCTGAAGGTCTGGTATAGTCTCTAACAGAAGTCTCTGATTGAAGGGTCAGGATCCTGGGAGAAACTCCCCAGCCACTGGGCACACCAAGGTGGTATCTCTCCAGATGTATAGAACAGAACATTGCTCTTGGTCTCTGCTTTTATACTGCCCAGTGGGCGTCATGGGTCCTAGGACTGTGTCTAGTTAGCTTGAGTGAGTGATGTCACCAGGTTCTGGTTCTCAGGCACAGCCCTGGGTGTAGTGGGGTTCCTGACTAAGCTATTCTTACATGTCTAAAAGGCATTTTTTACCCCGTTCATTGCTCACTGGGCCTACTATTCACAGTAAGATGTTCCTAATGGTGAGCCTGAAGCTGGCCCCAGGCTCCACCTGACTCACTGGCCATCCTCATCTAGGAAGGCCCTTCTGCCCAGGGAGAGGCTGGGCTTGTGGCACAGTAACTAGACTGCCCTTAGGGCAGAGGTTCCATAGCCAGGGGATAAGAGGCCAGGCCTGCTGGTAGGGTCTCAGACCCCTCTGGTTCCTAAGCGATAGAATAGGTAGTGAATAAGTCTTCTTGTCACTCGGTGAGACCAAGGAGTGAGGAACGACCAACTTTACTGCAGTGGACAGTGCTAGGTGTGCAGCCTCACCCACTAGACCATTCCCAGAGTCTTTCCCGCCAAGCCCACCCACCTCTGGCTTCTTCTGCAGGCAACAGTGTCAACAGCGTGATTATTGCTCTGACTGACGGGCCATTGATGATACACTCGTACAAGGAGACCCTGGAAGAGGTGAGGCCAGTCCACAAGTGTCAGCATTTGGCCTCTGGCATCTGGGACTTTATTTTTAGCACCTTCTTTCTTTTAGGCCAACAAAGCTCGGAGAATGGGAGCAATCGTTTACACTGTGGGTGTACATGAGTATAACAAACAGCAGGTACTTCAGACCAGGTGACCAAGTGCCCACGTATAGTCTATTAGAGCAAGATTGTAGAGACATCTTTACAGTGCCAAGAAGGTGGCATTCTCATCTACCCAAGGTCCTGGGGGCTAGAATTAGCCATTGCAAAAGGGTAGTTCACTTGGTTGAGTATGCCAACCCCCTATGTAGAGTGGGCAGGAGAGCTTCCCACTCCTTAATTTGGGGCTTTCAGTGAAAGCCAGTGAGTGTTTGACACCTTCCTGTCACCATGGCCTGAGGGCACCAGTCCCTGCCCCAAGTCTGGGAACCTGTTGCCTCATGCCTCTGGTTCCTGGCTCTGAGGTTCAAAGGAGTTACTTTCCTCCCATCACAGATCATCGAGATTGCAGACAGCCCAAATAACAGTTTTGGGGTCGACAACGGGTTCCCTGCTCTGCAGGACATCATTGACATGGTGAGTAAGTGGGATGTGGAAGACTGGGGGACCCGGTCTGCCTTCCCCAAGACTCACTAGCCTGCCCATTTCCATCTCCCTCTCTCAGCTTGTTTCCAAGTCCTGTACTGAAGTACTATCCGTGCAGCCTTCCAAGGTGTGTGTAAAAGGTAAGAGCTAAAGGGTCACAGACCTGGGCAAACGGTATAACTCAAGAGAGTGTGCACTGTAACTGTAATGAATTGCTAAACAGTCTTAAAAAAAAACCGAGCCAGATATTGGGGTGAAAGCTGAAAGATCAGAGAAACAGAACAAGCCACAGCCAACCTCACCTCGACAACTCCTCAGCCGATCCTGTTTCCATGACTCCTCAGACTGAAAGCCTCTGAGTCCTCATCCCTGAGAGTCCCAGTTGAACTGCACTTAGTTCCTGTCTTCTCATGCCTTATATACCGTTCTCCACACAGTCAAGTCACTTCCTGGGATTAAACGTGTGTGTGCTTCCCAAGCAAAGACATGAGATCTCAAGTGCTGGGATTAAAGGTGTGTGCCATCATGCCTGGCTCTGTTCCCAGTGTGGCCTTGAACTCACAGAGATTCAGACAGATCTCTGCCTCCCAAGTGATAGGACTAAGGGTGTGTGTGCCACCACTGTCTGGCCTCTATGTCTAATTTAGTGACTGGCTCTGTCCTTTGATCCCCAGATAAGTTTATTAGGGTACACAATGTATTGGGTACACAATATATCACCACAGTGTACATTTGCATGAGTGTGTATGGTTGTGGTATTGTTTCTGAGTGTGGTTTGTATGGGGTGTACATACTGTGCATCGTGCTTCCATGATATGTGTGGTACATGTGATAATATTGATCATCAACTTGGCAAGATCTAGAATTACCTAGAAGACAAACCTCTTAGCATGACTGTGAGGGAGTTTCTCGGCTGGGTTCATTGAAGTGGGAAAAACCACTCTAAGTATAGGCAGCACCATTCCATGGCCTGAGGTCCCAAGCTGAATAAATAAAAAGAAGAAAGGGAGCTGAGCACTGGCATTCACCTCTCTATTCTTTAGGACTGTGGATGCAATATGACCAAATGCCTCATGTTCCTGCCACCATGAACGTCTCTACGTGATGGCCTGTACTCTTGAACTGTGAACTGAAATAAACCCTTTCAGTTTAGTTTGGCTTGCATTTGTCACATCAACAGAAAAGTAACTAATACAGAAAACTGGTATCAGGAGTGATATTGTTGCTAAATTCTGACTGTGTTGTTCTTAAACCTTTGAAAATAGCTTGCAGGAAAAATGTCCAAAAGTTTGGAACATCAGCACAGAAAAGTCCAAGAATGCTCTAAGCAAAGCTTAGTGGGTCATTCTAGTGGAAGTTTGGAAGACCAGTATGCCAAGAGAAACATAGAAAGTGGAGGCCTTTAAAGACTATCAATACCTGGGTAGAGGCCATTGACATCATATTCTGGCTAGAAATGTGGCTGTATTGTGCTCGTGTCCTGAGAACTTCACTGAGGCTGAATCCAAACTTAAAGGGCTATTTGACAGAAGAAATCTCAAAACACAATAGCATTCAGAGTGTCATGGTTATTGCTCACTGCTAACCAGATCTACAGCAAGAGAGAGCCACGGGAGCAAAAGGGATATGAAAAATGTGCTATTTGCCTGGAGCAAAGGAGTGAATTTTAAGGTTGTGAACAAGGCTGGTACCGAGACAACATCTGTAGTTATGTCAAATCCTCGGTGTCTTTACAGAGAAACCCCCTGCCCAGAACAAGGGCACTAGGAAAGTGCCCTGAGGGCAAGACCCCTACCTATTAAACTGGTCCATCCTGTGAAAATGCAAATTTATTTGAAAAGAAAGAGCCTGAACTCGGAAGGGATTTCCAGTTCAAAAGTACCGTTCTAGGAAAGTGTTTTCTCAGACTCAGGAACCAAGACATATAAATGCCACTCTAGCTTTGTCGCATCCCAAACTGATGTCATTGACAGTGTCACTCATGTGATACTGGCTTTGTAGACACACAAGATGCAAGACTGACGGGTAATGGAGTCTTGTGAGAGCTCTTTGGGCCACCCAATGCAGGCTCAGAGCACTAGAGAGGAGAGACCCTAAGAGACCTTTGCTTAAAGCTGTCCAAGTGAAGCCTATGCTGCAGTGGACCCCAGCATGCTGGAGATACTGGAACCATGCAGCATCCACTGAAGGAAGCCACAGGCATGCTGTGGAGCTGGCCAAAGAGAGGCTATGTGTGCTGAAGGAATCGGGTCAGGAGGGCAGGGCTACACAAGCCCTTTCAACCCAGTGGCTCCAATATGAACTGCGCCATGCTGAACTTCCATGACGGTCTGTACCCTGGAACTGGGATTCAACATAAGCCCTTCTTTCTTAAGCTGTTGTAATGAGAGATTTTGTTGCAATAATGAGAAAGGAAATTAGCATGTATACACTTGTGTAAGGGTGATGTATGATCTGTGCACATGTGTTTCTATGTAGAAATGTGGGTGGACAGGAAATTTGGATTGTGTGTGTTATATGTTTATGACATACGTGGTGTGCGTGTGGGTATATATGATGGATGAATGTGTAAGTGTGATATTTTGTGTAATGTAAGTATAGAAAACTGAGCTGGAGTAGTTTGTAAAAAGTACATGTTCTGTGTATGCTGTGTGTGTTTTGTACGTAGAGCATCTTCATGTAATACTTCTGTGGTAAGGTTTATATGTATGTATGTAGTATGTCTTGTCTCTGCTACATGGGAGAGTTTGCGGAGAATATTATGGGAAGGGCACACGTGTGGTTTAATATGTGGGGAAGTGAATATTCATGGTATCTGTGTGGTATAGGTGGTGTTTGTGGTCTGTCTGGTAGAGATGTCTAAGTGTACTTCTGATGGATGTGTGTGAGCAGTGTGTGCATGGTATATGTAATATGATATGGGTTGTGGGGGGGCTGTGGAGGGAGTGGTTCAATAGGCATGGGAGGAGAATGTCTGATATATGATGTGCTATGCATGTTGGGTGTTCTGTGTTGTGATGTATTGTGGTGTAGAAGGGTATATAATGTGTATGTACCACATTATGTGTTTCTATGATATATGCTACATGTCTGAGTTTTAATGTGGCATGTGGTGTCTAGTATGTATTTATGAGATTTATGGCATATATTTATGCTATCTGCTATATAAGAATCCTATGTGTGTACAACTGTGAGTGTGGAATAAATCATGTGTGCTGCTTTGTATAGGGTATGGAATATGTCCATTTGTGAGTATTTATGTGATATTAAAGAACTTGAAGTGTGTGTGTGTGTGTGTGTGTGTGTGTGTTGTGTGATATGGGTGATTAAGTATGTCGTATTGTTAAAGGGTGCATGGTATTTATGTGCTTGTGTTGTAAGGTTATATATGCAGTATGCCTGTATATACAGTATGTAATATGCATTATATGTGTGTAGTACATAGTGTATATAGTATGTGCATAGTGTATATGAATGTGTGCCTATGAAGGTACTCTGTGTATGTAGGGTATATGTGGGGTATGAGCATGCAGGGAGTCACTATACTTTGGGAATAGTATGATGCACATTTGGAAGGTACATTCTGTAATTACATTGTGATATATGTGCAGATACTGCCTATTTATCTCAAAATAAAAGGTGTCGTTATAAGGCTAGGAAGAAGATATTTTTAAAACTCTCAAGGAAACCCTGAAAAATGGGATGGAGCCACCAATACATTCAGAGTACCTTGGCTTTGCTAGAGAAATCAGAAGCAGCTGGGATAGAAATTCCTACGGAGTTTCCACTTCTGCAAAATGGGGGCGGTGGCAAGGTGATCATATCCACGGGTGAAAACAAACCACTGGGCACAGTGGGCATCTACGTTGTTTCTGGAAGCAAGAGGAAACACCCATGCCTGGCAAAGACATCCACAAAGACAGCCATGCTTATTTCACCCCAGCATTGCCGTGGCCAACACCTGACCTTCAGGCCTAGAACTGACAAGGATAACCTCTGTCCATCCCAAGGTCCCTGCACCCGTGTGCCAAGGACACACATGTGTTTGCTTCTGGAGGAAGGATGCCTTTCTTTGTCAGTACTTGCATGCAGACTTGGTCCCGTGGAGCTGTGATTTGTACCCTGTAGAAGAGAGAGATGCGGGGAGCCCTGAGTCTCCTTTTACCACTGTGGACAGCTCAGTTCTTCGTATGCCTTCCAGTTCAGGCAGCTGAGTCCTGACCTCCGTATTCCCCAATGAGAGCCCAAGGCTCCAGGCTCGAGAAGACAGGACTATGCTTGCTTGTGAGCTGTGCCACCCTCAGCACCAATCTGAGGCAGAGTGCCACGTATGTGGGAGCTCCGGTACCCAGAAATAAGTTGGGAGATGTAGAGACAATGGATGGTGTGGGGACAGGTGCAGCATCTAGAGGCTCATAGGTGTTAAGGACAGAAGCTGGCCCTGGTATTTCCATCCCAGTCTTTGGCTCTGGGCTGCCCCTGCCCCTCCCCATGTTGTGGAAGAGTGAGGAGTCTGCTGTGCTGGAGGATGAAGGGAGAGAAGACCTCATGGAGTTTCTCTATGGAGCTTCTGAGATTTAAAATGGCTGTCTCTGACTGTCCTGGAACACACAGGCCTTGGTGTTTGGGCAGCTGTGACAATCCCCAAGTGAAAACACGAGTTGTCACTGTCTCCTCCCTGCAGCTGAACCAGGCGGCAGGTGCCTCCAGATACCTGCTCAGCCACTGAGCTGTTAAACTGTTGGCCATCTTGTGGAGGCCGCCACGTAAGAATACCTGTCACTTCCAGGGAAACCCAAGACAAGGAGGGGCCCAGACGACGAGTGTTTGCTTGAGGTGGCACTGTGTAGCCTGAGTGCTATGGAGCCTGGAGAGGGTCCTTGAGAAGGAGGGTCCTTGATCAACTACCCTGAGGCAGATGAAATACACGGGAGGCAGAAATGAGTGGGCCCTGGCCCCCAAGGCAAATGAGGAAAATGTAGAGGAATCCTGCCTTTGGAGTTACTCACCCAGTCGTCCTCTCTGTGTTCTTTTTGTATGGTGTCAGTGTCAGGGAACTGTTCACTGACGTTAGGAAGACCTGGCTAAACCCCAGAGTGATGGACAAGGTGGATGAGGATGAAGAAGGATGTGTTGACCTGTGTCTGAGACGGGCCATCTCCTTCAAAGGGACTCTATTGGGTGGGTCAGGGACCAGATCTCTTCCCTATGTCCCAGCCCTTGTTCTTGGGGTCTCTATTAATACACCATAAAACACATGAAAGAATTGATATTCTTCATGCTCAGTGGTACCACAGGCATCAAGTAGGGAGCTGGTCCCTAACCCTGTGCAGAGAAGGCCCTGTCTCTGCTACAGTGCCCATGCAGATTAAGAAGTTCATGAGGTCTCCAAGCAGGAAGGTTTCAGCTGAGTTGGCCTAGCTTGGAACAGAGCTGGGACTTTGGACTAGTTGGGTCAGAGATCACAGTAGGACTTCTAACTGTGCAAGGCCCCTTCCAACTATATTAGAATGGATATTCAGTGGCACCAGATGAGGATTTTCCCTACAAAGTCCCACAGATGTTGGTTCAGACACTGATGCTCTTTCATAAAGGCCCCTGAGAATTCCTTTTCAGGATAGCCCTTCATGAAAGGTAAGACCAGAGAGAACATGGCACCCAACTCTTCCACTCCAACAGTTAAATGTTCTTCTTGCAGACTCCTACAAAGTAAACATTAGCGGACATGGGTTTGACAATGCGAAAGCCCTGAGCCAAGTGCTTTGCAGATTCACGTTCAGTGACTCCAGAATCGTTGGTAAGTCATCCCTTGGTATCTCTGAAGTACACATTACCACACAGAATCATTTCTCTAAGCCAGCCATTTTTTCTGCTCTCGCTGACCACGTCCAGTGGACACTGGGGAGCTAAAGGCAGCGTGAACCAATGGAAAAAGGACCGAGAGGCATGCCTAGCCACACCACCCTTCATACAAACATGGGGGAAGAATAAACCCCAGCTCCCAAAAGCATCTGAGGCTGGCAAACACTGGCCTGTCCTCCCTCCAGCATGGTTTAGTCTTCCTGAGGGTCGAATACCAAAACCTGGTGTCTGCAGGTGGGACAGAGCAGCAGCCTCCAGACTGAGCCTGGAAGATGGCCAGAAACTCTTTCTGGACAGCTGTTCATCAGAGCACACAGAGGGGAAACCAAGGGTTGGGGTGTTGGAAGCCTAGCCAATGGGGATACAGCTCAGCTCTGGGCTTTTTGCCCCCAGCTCAGTGGACTGGGAAGAGAATGTGTTAGAATTAGCAGCTTCTGTCACAGCTACAAAATTCTCCTCAGGCTCCCAAAGAAGGAAAAGAAAAATCTCTGTTCCCTTATGAGCCTTCTCCAGCTCTGTAAACAACACAACTATCCACCCACCCACTTCCTGGGTCTAACCCTGGCCACCATTCTTGATCCTCTTATCCTATTCCTGAACGCAGTCCACCAGCATTCCATGTTGCCTTTGTCTGGAGCCTCCACAGCCCCTGACAGATACATCGCACTAGCAGTAACACAAAACTTCTTCCCAGAGCCCACACTTCCAGACTCACTCCTTTCAGCAACTTACCAGCTCCGTTTGCCTCTCACTTAGGCCAGAGCCCCCAGCCCTAAGATCATCTCCTGGCTGCTCCTAGCTCAGACATCAGCAGCTCACACAGAACCAATGTCAATGGACATGGTTCACCAAACACAGACGTACCAGGAATTGAACAGGGTCTTGAAGCACCCATGGCCTATGGTTAGTAGTTCACAACCCACATAGTGTAACCCCTGACACTCTCACCACTGAGTAACTAAATTTCAGGCAAGGCATCATTTCATGTGTAAATACCAATTTCTTTAAACCAGAATTCCTATCTCTAAAGGAAGGGACACATCATGGTCACTGCGCATCTGTCCTTTCCCACCCCTCTGTCTGCTCACCCATGTCACAGTACACTGCACTCTGTCTTTTACCTTGTCCTCTGTGTCTTTGTTGGGCTTGTTTGCTCTCTTCCCCTCAATCCCCAACAAACGAGCCCTGGGGTACAGGAGCCCTTGCTGCGTGTACCTGCTGGGTACCAGAGTGCTGTTCTGAGGTGGGCAGAGTTGGGACTCAGCAGGTGTCCTTGAATAAAAAGAGGCAGGGGGAGTAGGCTTTCATCAACCAGTGGCAGCCCTCAGTCAGAGGGTGACAGTGGAGGAAGAACACCCCAACTGATAATCCTGTGTCATTTTCTTTTAGATGAAGCCCCCATTGACAAGAATGAGAACACTATATCCTGTCCTGGACCAAAGATACTGCATACTGGAGAGTAAGTGTCCCTTGTGGGAGGCCTTAGGGATGGTCTGGTAGTCGCTGTTTATCAGAGGAAGTACCCCTTGCCAGAAGCCTTAGTGGGGAGTCCAACAGTTGATGTTTCCCAGCTTGTGGAGAATCTGGGGTGTGCCCTTGCTGTACAGCACCTGTCTGCCTGTATGTGGGTCCCATTTCCCTTCTGCATGCCTCTGTTAGTGACCCTGGTGGTATTCAGGAATACATAGTGCCCAGGCACTGCTGAGGGCAGAATGGAAAAGATGATGGGTTCGAGGGCTCGAACCTGTGCTTGCATACCTCCCTGATTCCTGAGTTCATGGCCATTATGGCCATATGACATGAGGGCCTCTTATGGCCTATCATTCCTATGCACCATCACTGCAGAGGTTGACTCTTTATACTTTGGGGAGTAAAGTTTCTCTACCCACCTCTTCACTACAGGGAGTCCTATGCTAGAATTTCAGCATCATTACCCTGAGGATTGATGTGTGCAACACTTTTAGCTAACTGCGCCTCCAGGGCTCTTTCCATCATCTAGTCTCTTTTCTGTGCATCAGGGAAGTCTTTCTTGAAGTCAGTCTGAACAATGGCCTCTCCTTCATTGGGAACAAACTCACCATAACCGGTAACAGCTGTGGGAATACTGAGGTAAGAGCCAAGGGTGTTGCAGATCTACCTAGAGCTCAAATGATGGTCACAAAAGGCATGCCACACAAGTAGCAGTTTCTTGAAGAGCCACCTGGGACAGGTATAAGGCTTTGCCAGACAGTCTAGAACATGTAGGGCACACGACAGCTCCACATGAATGTGCCAAGCCCAGGAATCCTGAGTTCTGCCGGCAGCAGTCAAAGATGTGTGCCAGTGAATCGGATTCCCAGTAGCTAATATGGACCCAAATCCACTCGGGCCTCACCCCTTCTCCCCGTCCCAAACCTGCTTGGTGACTCCTGTCATTTACCATGTCCTCAGTTTCCCCTCTCCTCTATATTTCTGGCTGCTCCTCTGTGGGTTTACAACCACCTGCAGGGCACCCTCTCCTGCTGTGGTGGTGGGGAGCTGTCAATCATCACCTGCAGGGCATCCTCTCTGCTCTCCTGCTGTGGTGGGAGACCTGTCTGGAATGTGAAGCCCTCAGCTCAGCCAGGGCCCCTGAGGAGGAAAGTGCTGCTCCTCAATGTGCAGCTTTTCAGCTCCACATCCATCCTCCTAGCACCTGAGACCAGTGCAGTGTGACTAGGGGGTATGCCCAGGAGACGGAGCCTTGTGTCCACTTGTGACAACTCTTGAGTTCTTCTCAAGATTCAGAGGGAGGAGGGGGTGAGCTTCTCAGACAGAGCTGAGAGACACAGAGATCAGCCATAGAAGGTAGACCCACATCTGGCCCTGTACCTCTTCAGTGGCCCAGCAGCCTGACCATCTCCTAGAGATCACCTACAGCCTAGAGCACTGTCAGCCGAGGCCACAGTGAGAACTGGTATCCTCAGGTCATGGAAAGCCCTGAGTCTTCTAGGTTTGGGGCTGGGAAAAGTTGGCTGCCCTCTGAGGACTAGCCTGGGCCACTAACCCTGCTGTAGCCCCTGGTGTCTAGGAAAGCCGGGTGGAGAGAATTCGTGTACAGATAAGAAGCAAGGGGTGGGCACAGGGGAAGAAGCCACTGTCACTATCTGCCACAGGGAGACGCACTCAGCGGCAGCAGGAGCGGTTCCATACCCAGCCAGCTGCAGCAGGAAGACCCAGGCCTGGTCCCAGTTGACACAAAGCAAGCCGACACAAAGCAAGCAGACACAAACGACACAAAGCAAGCGGACACAAACGACACAAAGCAAGCGGACACAAAGCAAGCGGACACAAACGACACAAAGCAAGCCGCCGTCCCGGTCTCCAGGGCAATCAACAAGCCAGCAAGAGACAGCACCAACTTCGACTGGAACTTGCTCCTCTTAATCCCGGTCTTGCTGGTGGCTGTCCTGCTGCTGCTGTGCTGCTCTTGGAAGTTGTGCCGCAGGAAGGTTAAGTCCCCTACCCACCCCTCCCCCTTTGCCCTGGCTCCTACACTCCTACACACATGCCCCCTCTCCAAGGAACAGTGTCTTGGGGCAGTACTATAATCCAGCCTGCTGGCAATTTCTCATCTAAGGTCCTCAAATCATCCAGAAGAGACACAAACTCTTAAGTTTAAACATCCAAGCCCTAGACCAGCCTGGGTTCTAAGAATTCTCCAGCCTAGTTGACCCAGGAATTCAGTCTGAGATGCTTGGGCTGTAAGCTAAGGCTGGCCCTGGAGAGAGGCTATCCCAGCACCCTTAGACCGGTGCCGTCTTGTATCAGCTACACACCTACAGGTCTCGTGTGGCCAAACCTCAGAGGTGCCCCTGTATGTCAGGACAGGATCCCCCATGTAGTCCCAGTGGCCCCATACACAGGATGAAGTCTATCAGGCATGATTAGTAACCACTAAAGCAGAGCTCCCTTTGACGTCAGCCCCTTTCCTGACCCCAGTATATCACACAGCCCCATACTGGGCTGCAGAAGCACGGAGAAGCAGCAGAGCTACCCCGCCTCACCAGGGGTTGCAGTTCCTGTTCTGGCTTCAGGGTGAAATGCACCCACCCAGAGACGTAGCCAGGGATTGGCTAAAGCAGAGCAGGATCCAAGGATGACACTGGCATCCTGGGACAGTGTGGGAGAAGGCAGAAGAGCTGGGGAGCTGGGATGGAAGGAACCCTCCAGGGAGCTGGAGGAGGAAGTAGCAGCCCTGGGACACAGCTCCTCCCAGGGATGCAGAGAGTGAAAGGCCCTAGAGGGGGTTATGGGAAGACTGAAGGACAGTGAGCTTCTACCAAGGGGAAGGAGGAGTGTGGGCTCCCCTGCGGCTGGGCTCTGACAGGTGTGGAGTGCTCCAGCTGTGGGCCTCTCTAGGGACCAGAACCTTGGTTCAGGTGGTCTCCTGATGGGGCTGCCTGGGGCCAGGTAGAGCCTCCTGGACACAGCACCACAGCACTGGGCACCCACATAGGCATCCCCAGGCCATGTTGTCTCCGTGCTCCAAGCCAGGGTCCCTTCTGCCTGCAGGGCCAAGGCAGAGCCCACCCTAACCACTCCAGCCCACGTCTGTCTGTTTCACGTTCCAGCCTAAGAAGCCGCCACCAACTGCACCACCGTCGGAGAAGGTGAGTTGTGTAGGGGAAGAGGGTGACACTGTCACACTAACCTTCAAGAGGCATCATGAAGCCCGAGCTCAGAATCCCTCACTACTTTGGCAGTGAATAGGGAGAATGCAGATCCAGGATTATATGGGAAAGCCATGGGACTCAAAATAACGTCACCCAGGCAACACCATTACCAGACCTGCAGCATTTCCCAATCATCAGGGCTTGGTGGTCCTGCTCCAGTGTGCGTGCAGCTGTCCATTGCTGAATTGTCATCTTTCAATGGATCCCATAGGCCTCTCTGTTGAATGCCAAGGATGCAAACCAGTTCTTAGTGTAGGAGCTGCATGCATCAGATCCAGGTCTCCATCTTCAGGTTCAGAGCCTTTGGGCTTCTTTACACCTGTCTCCATCATCTGCTGCAAGGGCCAAGAGCTCCCCTGAGGTCAGCCCAGGGCTGGGGAAGGCAGAAGATATCCTAACTGACCTTGAGCTATGAGGGGTGTCCCCAGCTGAGCACAGGGACCAGATGATGAAACAACTGTGCCTTCTTTGGGGTAGGAACCAGAAGGGGTAATGAAAGGCTGGAGCAGGCAGAGACTGGACCTGGGCCTGTGTTGAGGTGGGACCAGCTCTCCTCTCCATGGGGGAAAGTGCTAGCTGCAGAGTAGCCCTGGGAGCCTGCCGCTGTAAGGCCAGAGCCCGATGGAGGGGACTATCACCTGACATTTCCCATTCTCTGCACAGCCTCCAGGCCAGGCTTCTGCTGTCAAGAGTGGCCTCGAGAGAACCAAGAGCACAGAAGTGAGCTGCTGGCATTTGGGGAAGCTCAGCATCTGCAAACCAGAGGGGCTTTGGTTATTTTTCTCATGGATGACCCTCCCCCAGGGTGTGGGTTACAGTCAGTCTCCCATTCACTCTGCAACATTTGCTGGCTGCCCCCCCATCCCCCAGTGCATGTGTATGTAAGAGACAGTGTGCCCCTGTTCAAGAAGCTGTGAGCAAGACACAGACCAACTCTTTTCACTTCCAGGAGCCAGAAGAAGAGGAGCGGCCCCCTCCTTCTACATCACCACCTGCTCCTCATGCCCACCCTCCTCCAGCTGTCAACCCAAACCCTACTGTGATTGTTGCCTGCTGTGGCTGTGGAAACAGAAGGGTGCAGGTGACTGGGGTTGGGCAAGCTGTGACCCTAGGCTCAGCTAGGGAAGGCCGGCACAGTCAATCATCACTACAGAGGTCTGAGTGTGGGCAGGATACAGGACATGTATCACTGTATGTCCGAGGACACCTGAATCCCTGTCTTTCTCCCATGGCTAGAGGAGAACAGCACACAGGAGGGTTCTCCAAGTGCTTGCATCCCTCTTCTGCAGTTTATAGTTTCCTGGACATGGCCATTGTGCCCTGTCTTGACAGTCTCTGGTTCCCGTGTCATTGTCTCAGCCCCAACAATGGCTTTGCTGTCACACTTAGTCTGTAGATAAATGAGCCAAGATGGATTGGGTGTATCTTGCAAGGTCAGATACAACAAAAACAGAAAAGACCAGTCATGAGCTACCACCTGTCCACCTTGAAAACTGATCAAATGCCAGTGACCCTGGCCAGCCAGGACCAAGTTTCTTCATAGACAAGTAGAAGAGTTGATCCAGCAGTCCTGATGCCCACTGAGATGGGCAAAGAGTTACAAGATGAAGGTAGTTGGCATGGAGGTCTTAAGGGACATCACAAACTTCTTATGTGGAGTTGAGCCCCAGAAACCAACAGTCATTCATCTGAAGCCCCTCCTCCCAGGAGGTCCAGGTCACTCCAAGAAAGGGGGAAGACAGGAAGCAGCCCCAGGCCCCAACATGGAGACCCTACAAGAACAATACAAGGAAGAGCGAGCCCCCAGTTTCCTCCCGGCTTGGAGCCATCCTCCATGGCCTGCCTCTGTCTGTGGTGGTCCCATTGCTTCCTCCTGAGCTCTTCTAAATATTCTGGAGTCGCCAATGTCATCTGAGAGCCACACCTGCCCATTCCCTGTCTGAGAACCACAAAGAAACCAACACAGGTCTCCTGAGAGGAAAATGGCCACTGCCGTTGATCTGGCCTCCGCCACCCACTCCATAGGGCCAACGGGCTCTGAGCTGCAGGGCTGAGACTATCAGTTTCACTACAGTTAGGCCCAGGGTCCCTCTCACCTCCCCACCTTCCTTTACTCTACCCGGGCCCATGGCAGCTGGCCCTGATGGAGACATGGGCGTCTTGCCTGTCTGACCTGTGTGGCCCAAGTTCTGGCTTTTTCCCTCTTCCCAGACCTTCTACCCAGAACCTTCACAAAACCCATAGCTCCCCTGGAGGCCTCTGCTTGCCACCACACACCCCTCAAACTTCTGGACTTCTCCAGAGCAACTGACAATTCTTTCCACTCAAAACACTGTTTTGTTCCAGGTTGTTCTAAATTCTGTGTGTTCCACAGCGACCACTATGGCCATCCAAGTCTTTAGACTGGTCCCTCTTAGGAGAGGATGGGTTTTGTCTTCTTGTGTCCATGTTGACAGAGTTCTAGGTAATGTGAACCTCAGTGTCTTTGGAGGACAGCTCCCGTGCCCTCTGCTTGCTCATGATCACATCTGCTTTTCAGGGAAGCCTGGACACATGCTACAACTACTTTCAACCAAGCTGCCACCAGATGCCAGTGATGTGGTGTCATCCCAAGGTCCAGGTGAGCCAGACACAGGGACCTCTAAGGCACAGAGCAGCCACTGCTTTATGTTTTAAACTCTCAGTGTTCTGACCCCACAGACTCGTCGGAGCCGTGCACTGAGAAGGGTGGGGTTTAGCTGGGACTGCTCCCTTCAGGGTTTACTATGAGTAAGTGTCAAGTGGGGCCTGAAGTCCCTCGCAGGGACTTACAAAATTGAGTGTCAGCTAGCACCTGTAGCTCCCTTCAAGGCACAAAGTAAGATGTCCACTGCTACACCCTCTGCAGGAACAGATAAAGGTGCCATCTGGCAACTGTTTAGAGCAGGGATTCAGGAGGGCTTCAGCGGGGGCCTGAAGCTTCCTGCAGGACAGTCAGCCTGCAGCACTCAGCTTGTGTGTGTAGGACCAAACACTAGCCCAGCCCACTTGGCAAGTTCAGGCAGGTTCCTGCATGAAGGCACTCTGGGATGCTCCATCAGGCTGGTCTTCTGTCTGAGCAAAGAAGAACTGTCTAAGCGGGAACCCACTTCAGGACATCCTGGGGGACTTAACCTCAGCCTAGCAGCAGGGAGTGGAGGCAGCAGTCAGGGACCCTGCTCATGTCATGTCCCACTACAGGCTACTTGAGTGCACCATGCTACCCTTCCTGAAGGGCCCTTCAGGCAAAGCCTCACCCAGGCCCGCTTTTTTTGGTAGGCAACGAAAGCAATAGGGACAAGATCCTGGTGGAACTGTTGTGCCTCTCCTTCCCTCCCTGTGCCACCCAGTGGAAAGGCTGTTTCTAAGCTCCTCATCCTGGCTAGTTATGGCATGCAGGCATGAGGACTCAAAGAGGGTCTCAGAAGTTAATAAACCTGTGCAGAGGGGCCCTGACCTTGAACTTTGGAGGGACTCTTCCTAGAACCTCATCCAGTAGCTTGTTTGTTCCTGTCAGTTCACAGGCTTTTGTGCCTCAACTAGTCATAACCCATGAGATTATTTAGAAGTTTCACTTTACCGCAAACCTGGGCATTTTTGTAGCAGAAGTAAGTGGTTTTGTTTGCTTTGAACCTTAACAAAATGAATGTCTGCACCATGGCCTTCGACTTCTTGAAGCAATTTGTCTAGTTGGCACCGTCTCCTTCATAAATACATACAAAATTCAGGCCAGTTTGTGATCCTTGAGCCAAACCCACCGAAGTCTCAGTTCTCTTCAGTCAGTGCTTTATCTCTCTGCCTGTTAAGCTGATGGGAAACAGGCTCAGTGTGGGAACCCTGACCCTGTCCTCCTGAACAGAGTCTACAACAACGATGGGATGTCCCCAAGCCCACTCATCTTTCTACGCTCACTGCCCCGCCAGGAACTGCTTGGAGCCTGGGCCTCATTTTATTCTCACAACTGCCTCAGAGAAACTGTAACTTCCTTTTAGATAGACATGGTCTAAGGACTTCCCATAAGTGAATGATTAACCAAACCAACAACTCTACTGTTGGAAGGAAAGTAAAGACCCTCAAAGTCAAGAAACCTTTCAATAGTCATAGTCAGGAGCCAGCCAGCACAGCACCCTCCAGCCCAGCTCCAGACATTTTGTTGTGTGTGTGCCTCTTTCTCTGTCCTGCTGTCTTCATAGCTGTGGAAACTGAGGCACTGGCATTTAGTTTGGGGCTCAGCATGGCGAGGTTGTTGAGTGGTACAGCCAGGTTGTGAACCGACCCTTCTGTATCCAGGCTCTGTCCCAAGTATCATGGCGTCAGGGTGATCAATGGAAACATTTGGACAGGACATCTTATAGTATAAAGTGTGATATATGCAAAGTGTTTGTGAATATTCATATCTTGTGGGACTTAAAGTGACTGCTTAGTGCCCAACATTTAGAATGTTCTTTTTTGTTCTTGAAGTTCACAAATAAGCAAGATATGAAAGAGCCCAATTATTTACAGACACATGTAAACAAACCAAAATGGAAATAAGAATTTCCACAGCATCTTAACTATGCAGAGGAAGCAAAATAATTAGACCTGTAAAGCCAAGAGTGAAATTGCCAGAAACAATCATGAGGTCCTTTGAGGTCCTTGCAGACATACTTCACAGAAACCAGAAAGATACTTGTGATAATACTGGAAATGGTTTGTAGAAAGCCATTCACAGGCCTGAGGCAGATGCCAGGTTCTTTAAGACAACTTGTTTAAAACAGCTAGGTAAAAGAGACTTTTCTGATACCATCCTAATCAACAATCAGAGAAACTCTCCAAAAATAATGATTCACTTGGGAATACTGGGGCATTGCAATGAGGATCCCACATTCCAGAGCAGGCTGTGTGCACATTAAAAGAATAAAGGGAAACTTTAAAGACAAAAATTAGAAGGTTCACACAAGTGACTTTGAGACAATAACCTTCGGCCACAAGGAATCATAAAAGAATATTAAAGGATCTAGAACAAATGTACCAATGCCACCAGCCCACACCTTTGATCATCAATGAGTGGATGTCCTTGTGGATGCTTTTTTGTAAGGGATTTAAAAGGCAATATATCTTTAGGCATCTGGGCTAAGGGTTACTATGGAGTTACTGTGTATGCACAGCCATTGATGTGTGAACTTTGTGGTGATCTTTGGGCAATGTGGTCCTAGCTGTGTTTTATGGTAGTTTTTCTATATGAATGATATTTCCTCCTTCATAAATAATCAGCTTTCCTTGTTTGAATCTTGGTTTATATTAGGACTTGACACAAGTGACTCCATGTTGATTATGATTTGATTTGATTCAAAGGAGCATCCACAAGGCCAGCACTGCCAGTTGAATCCTGATGTGTCCTGACTCTACCACCTGAAGTCAGACAACCTCAGCCTTCTGGCCCAAGTCCAACGACACCTCTGTGAACTTGTGTTTTTCTCCTTCCTCCAGGGGCGATGCGCCAACTTCACTGTCGTGAATCCCGGCTGCTCACCGGCCTCCTGCAGCCCAAAGATTTGCCTCAGTCCCAATAGAAACTGTTTCCATCTCACACAAGCACCGTGCACCTCAAGGCTTGTCCTTCAACCCAACGGGGAGTGTTTCAGCATCCCACAGGCATCCTGCAGCTCAAAGATCTGCCTGGGAAACAGCCGAGAATGTCTCCCTGTTACACAGACTCTGTGCTCAAAGATGTGCCTACCAAATCAGAAGTACTACACTATCAACTATCCACAGTCCCCATGCCCAACCAGGTGTACCGGGTCTCCCTCCAGGATGCTCCCTCTGCTCACTCCCCACACCCGCCAATCTGTAGAATCCCTTTGTCACACCCACCCCCGTCACCCATCCTCTAAAAGACAAAATTTCTAAGTTTAAGAGGCTTTTGTTTATTGCATTGGACACGTGAACCAGGTCTTAGACTGTAGTGAGAAAGCTCTGGTTTGCTGCTAATCAGCACGCTCCATATCTAGAGAGATGCTCACCATCTGAGGTGAGATTCTGCTGCAGGTACAGGCAAAGCCCTCTGGTCCCACTTCCTACAAGTCTGTCTTCATCTCTCTGCAAAGGCTAGGACGAATGGGATCACCCTCGAAGGTCTCTGTGAAACTGCCCCTCCCAATCCTTACATGCCCTCCTGAGTTCTATTTCTCTAAGCTTTTGCAAAGAGAAGTACTTGAACTTTTCATCTGGATTGCATGTTCCTGGTTTCCATTTCCTACATCCTTGAATTTTGAATGTGTCGTAGAAAGAAATAAATCCCCTTCTGGAAGCAAGACTTCTCTTTCTAGATATGCCATGTACCCCTCACATCCAAGAGAGCCTCCAAAACTGTCCTGGATCAGGCAAACCTCACCTGTGTGTCCTTTGAATCAGGCTTCAACAGAGCTGAGTATTACAGTGTTAAGCCACCCAACACATGCACCATGTCTATGTGATCCTGCAGGGAACAGGTACACCAGCGTGATGACCCAACAAGGAGCCCCAGGGTCCTCTGGACACACCCCAGGGAGGCCATGATACAGTTGTCCCGAATCTTGACAGTTAATTAAATGGCAGCCTTCTACATTCCACGTTTCCTTGAAGGTTATACTCAGGCATTGTAGTTGAATTTCTCTAACACAAATACAGGAGGAAATATTCACACCTTGGCTTGTAAGTGGTATTGATTGAGTCAGTGGATAATGATGGTTGTACCATCCTCCTTGTTTCCAAAACTAAAGCTGTCCTGGAATGCCTTATGTTATGTGCAGGGATTTTTGTGGGTGTTTTCTTTATTGAATGAGTTTGACCTCCAAAGTACTCACTCAAGGGGTTTCTGTTTCTTCTCTCTACCCCAGCTGTTCTGTCTTGTACTGCCCTTGACTGTCACAGCTTGGGCTGTGTACCTGAGTACCATCTTTTACCTAGATGGGACCTGAGCCTCTCCCACCCTTCAGGTCCTCTCCTATTTCTGACAGCTGTTTTCTACTGTCAATCAAACGTCTCCTATGGGAAGAGTAAGGGCAAGTCAGAATAGAGGTTGCTGGTGACAAGGTGTGAACTCAGGTACCCATTACCCTCTCCCATTGCCAAAGACCTGTGCTGCATCAAGACTGTGGCAGGTCCAGTGGGAGCACAGCAGGCTGGGTTGGGCCTTAGTGGCCAGGCCTGTAGCCTAGGGTTCTGTCACTACCCCGTGGGGCCCCACCCTTAGCAGTCAGAGGTCGTCACTTTTTGTCAAAGTGGTACAGCTAGAGCCTCCAGAGTGCAGATGTGGCCTTGGTTTATATAGGACGCCCTTTCTCAATGCTTGACCCTCAGCCTGGAAGCCAGGGGACGTCATAGCAGAACCTAGGAGTGTCTATCCACCTAGCTGTGTCCTTAGTCTGCCTGTCTGTCTGAGGCGCCACCAGTGAGTCGGGGTATCCTCAGCAGTGAGGTTGGCTATTGCCTCCCTCTCACCGGAGGAAATGATTCTCTGCTCTGAGCATTTATGAGTGCTTGCCTGAGGTCTTGTTACAGTCTTCAAGTGGAAGGACCAAGAGTCAGTGCAGAGAAGCTACCTGCAAGTGCATCCTGGGGACTTTGCCCTGGTCCCCAAGGGTAGAGGACTCTCCCTGGGCTGTATTGCTCACCGCCTCCGCATTGCTCTGTATAATCTCTCATCCCAGACTCCTGTTTGGGCTCCTTGAAGCCAGGAGTGTCCCTCACACCCCTAGCAGTGACAGCATAGGGTCTCTCTACAAGCACACTGCACGTGTATACCTTCACACTCAATGGGAGCTCGTGTTCGCACAAAGCCGAGGTCCCGGTGCTGTGGCTCCATCCCTTCCTCGCTGCCATGATCGGCCCAGGATGGAGAGGTCTGCATGGGAACTCATATGGTATCTATTAAAAGCCCCCTTCCCCTCCCCTTGCCCTCCCCCTGCCCTCCCCCTCCATCTCCCTCTCCCTCCTCCTCTGCCTCCTCCCCCGCCTTCCCCTCCCTTTTTCTTTTTCCCACCCCTGATATTCTGTTCTCTACTTCACATTCCAAGCAGACAAGTCGTGAGGTGTTTGACCTGTTTATTGGTTAGGATTCTCCAGAGAAGCACAAGTGTGGGTCCGCACAGGGTATGTAACAAAGACAGCGGTAACACTAACAGGACTGGCCCGTAAGATTACAGAGAGGGAGACGTCCTGTGTCTGCGCTGGGGAGGAGAGAGGGAACAGGAAGTTCAGCCAGCTCACAATGAGCTCTGAATGTGTCCTGTCCCCCTAAATTACAGTGGGTACGAGGCCATAGAGGGGGGCTGGGTCTTGAGAGCAGAGCCCCATCAATGGAACTCACAGCCTAAGGGTCCATCTGTCATATGAGAACACAGCCAGAGGCCCTACCAAGAGCTACAGAACTGAGTCACCAGACCCTAGTCTGCCTCAGCCCTAGTCTTCACCCTCCCAAGCTGTGAGTAGTAAATTCCTATTGTTTGTCAGCCACACCATTTATGGTCGGTTAGTATAGCTACCAGAATGATCAGACCCAATGGAAACCCACGGGCCTGGGGCGACCTCCCTCCATCTTCCAGAGCTGAAGCTTCTAAAAGGTGGCAGTGTCCTCTGAATAGTGGCGTGGTACAGGCAGTGGCATGGTACAGGGAGAGAAGGGAGGCAGAATTTAAGGATTGCAGAGAGCTCATCTACAGTTTAACATAGGTAGCTAAGTAGTGACCAGGCCCAGAGACCCAGCCCCATCGGGCTGAAACTGAACTGAAGTATCCATGCAGGCTGGACACTGGGTGACATAAGGGTAGCCATGACAGCTGGCTGGTGACTTCTGCCATAAGACTTTTGCCCAACACTGGAGGAGGACGGTTCCTAGATGAGAAGTATCTCAAATTACAAAGGACTCTATTTCTATCTTGAATCTCTTGGGTGAAACAGAAAGCTTGCTAAAACTCCACCGGTCACTTCAGAATGCGCCCCCAGCACACAGGTGTACATCGCCCTTGTCAAGCTGGAGAATGCCCATGGGAATGGGGGTTGTTTTAAGGATGTGGCCACAGACTGAGTAGGCACCCCCAAGTCATCTTCAACGTGGTGAGGAACCTGCCCCAAGGTCTCCCCAGAGTGAGCCCTGCTGCTCCACAAACTTCATTCCTGTTCCTTCCCACCCAACTTTCTTAGCCCCACACCTGCCTGCCGCCTCCGTCCTACGACCTGGGCCTACATGAGTAGGGCTTGGAGCAGGTAGTGGGGGAACCTGGGAGAGTTCCACCCATTCTGTTCAAGAAACGGGCTGTGCATGAACTCACCTCACAGAGACTGTGGCAGAGTGAAGAAGGCCTGCACTAGTTCCTGGCAGACAGGGTCCCAGCACTGGAAGGGAGAAGGGGACATGGGCTCCCATCTCTAACTAAGATGATAATTGATGCCCACCGGCAAAGGAAAAATCACTTTTCTTCCATGAAGTCTCACTATGTGTATTAACACACTTTGGGGCAGGCCACATGCCCAGGAGTACTTGGCAAATGAAAAACACATTCAATAGTATTTTTGTACTTGGTATGTATATGGTATCATTTTGCTTTGTTTGGCATATTTTTTATCTTATTGGTCTTTTGCTTGTTTGTTGTTATTTCTGTTGCATGTATGTGTGTGTGCATGCATGTGTGTGTGTGCGTGTGTGTGTGTGTGTGTGTGTGTGTGTGTGTGTTTGGGGGGTTTTGTCTTGTCTGTTTAAGGAAACAGAGGGACAAAGAAGCATGAAGTTGATTGGGTAAGGAAGTGGGGAGGATCTGGTAAGAATTGGAGGAGGGGAAAACATGATAAAAAATACACTGTATGAAAAAAATTTCAATTAAAAAGAAAGAAAGAAGAGAGAGAAAGAAAGAAAGAAAGAAAGAAGAAAGAGAGAGAAAGAGAGAGAGAGAGAGAGAAAGAAAGAAAGAAAGAAAGAAAGAAAGAAAGAAAGAAAGAAAGAAAGAAAGAAAGAAAGAAAGAAAGAAAGGAAAGAAAGAAAGAAAGAAAAGAGCCAGGCGGTGGTGACGCACGCCTTTAATCCCAGCACTCGGGAGGCAGAGGCAGGTGGATCTCTGTGAGTTCGAGGCCAGCCTGGGCTACTGAGTGAGTTCCAAGACAGGCACAAAGCTACACAGAGAAACCCTGTCTCGAAAAAAAAAAAAGAAAGAAAGAAAGAAAAGGAAAGAAACAAAAAACAGAAAAAGGAACGTGGGTCTGTGGTGTCAACAGCGTCGTTGCTGCCCTGGCTTTGTGAACTGCCTTGACCAAGTACCTCAGACCAATACCGCGACAGCAGCACTTTCTCTGGGAGCCAGACACCTCAGACCAAGCTGTGCCCATCAGCTTTCTGTCACATGACATCACAGTGGCTTGGGGCCCAGCAGCTCAGGCCAGGCTGCAAGGTTGTAAAAGGAGGCATATTGTCCCTTGGTCAGATGAGGGAGTAGTGACCCTGTGACAGTTTGGGGATGACAAGGAGACCACGGCTAGAAGGTAGAGGTTCAGCTCAGGGGCCTGGAATTAACTCGGGTGTCTCAAACTCAGAGATGAAATTTCTGCTTGTGACTCAAATTCCTCAACTTTCTTCCCTGTTTGCTGTTGTCTGAGGGTGGGTTGAGCACCTCAGAAAGGCTAACTCTGTGGAAGCTGTGCCCTGGAGATAGAGGGGACTGAGAATAACCTGTCTACCCCACACTCCTGCCTAGAGCCATCCTGCCTAGGCATCTCACACCTTCCTTCTATGCCCGGGCCTCTTTCTGAGACCTGAGGAGCTAGGGTGAGGGAGCCAGTGTTGATGCTACACTATTCCAGAAGATGGCGCTCAGAGCTTACATTTGTCCACTAAGCCGCTCTCCAAATTCCAGGGAGGGACTACAAAGCAGATTTATGTTCCATCTTTTAGCTGGTTTTGTACTACATTTCTAATGGTTGGAATTACTTTCTCCTTTCTAGAGATGTTAAAGAGTTGAGAGTGTGGAGATGCCTGGAGCAGCGCCCTGCATCACACTACGTCCACAGTGCATCGCAATGCCTGTGATAACCCATCCCGTGTGGTGGTCTTGAACTATTCCTTATGTTAAATTCTCCCCACCCTCAGCCAGGTCTTGGACCTGGCCATCTGCTAAACACACAGCTCAGATATGCGCTTATCAGCTCCATGGAACCTTCCAATTTGTACAATCTTTGGAGACGTACTTCCATCCCATATTTATTTTATTTTATTTTATTTATTAGTTTATTTTATTTTTATTAGTTTACTATTATTTTATTAGATTATTTTAACCCTCCACCACACCTGCATTTTCTCTCCAGTGCCACACCTGAGCCAGGCTCATGGCCCACTCTTATTCCAACACGCTACATGCTCTGATTTTTCCTCAACCACGCCTTCCTCATCTCTGTCAACCTGGACTCACTACATAGCCCAGGCTATCTCAATCCCATGATAACCCTCCTGTCTCAGCTTCCCGAGCCACCATACTTGTCTCCGACACCTCTTTCAGGTTATAACTCTGGATGCAGGTGGAGGGAGGCAATTGTTTGCCTTTTCTGTCCTGTCCTGGGTTACTGAAGACAATATCGAGGAGTAGGGGGACCCACAGAGATGCTTGCCTACCGACCGCTCACATAGGCTCATGCTTATCCACTTAGCCAAAGGCTCAATGCTGAGCGCAACTCACCAACGCAAAATTTAGCTAAAAGCAAGAGATCGGTTTTCCAAGTGTCAGAAAATGTATAAGAAATATTATAATGAAAGAAACTCAAAGCCAAATTATTGAATGATTGTTTAAAGAATTAAGACAAGCCAGGTATGGTGGTGCACACCTTTAATCCCAGCACTCAGGAAGCATAGGCGGGCAGACCTTTGTGAGTTCCAGGTCTACATAGTGAGTTCCAGGACAGCCAGGGCTATGTAGAGAGACCCTGCCTCAGAAAATGAAAATAGAAAAGGACAGGGCTTCTGCCTAAAGGGATAAAATGCTTCCTGCCAGACTTTAGAGTTGGAATCTGCACCCCTACAAGCCAAAGCTAGGGAAAGTTAACCTTATCCCAATCCTATCTTCCTAAAACACAACCAAAAACCTCATCCCCTGCCCAGGGCATAGCTCAGAGGGCCTCCTGCTGTGGACTCTGTGGGAATCGCTGCTCTGAGTCCGCAGTGCACAAGGAACATCATTACAGCTAGCTCACTGCAGCTGATAGAGTTTAACAGTTTCAGCACAACTCCTTCTGGAGACACCTTGCCCACCCAGAGTAGTAGGGCTCTCTGGGAAAACCTTCCTGCAGAAGAGGATCCAGGAGGGGAGATTCCTCTGCATCTCCACAAGGAGAGTCAAGAAACAAAATCCAAGAAACCAAGAGATTAAAATCTAGTGCCAGTCATACACTACTATAGTGTTCAGATTTTTTTTTCTGCTTATAGGTAGGCATGCTGGTTACAGAATTATGCTTGCTCCAATAAACAAATTTTAATACATTTAAAGAAGTGAGGAAATAAGAAGCCAAGAAAAGCGAGAACAGAATGGTCTGGAAAAGGCAGAGTTTGATAAGAATGAAAGCAACGTTTTGAAAGCAAATTGACTTAGAAATTTAATGTGGCTAGATGGAGCCAGATAGAGGGAGAGCTGCCATGTGCAGCCCTGGGAACTGACTTTGCCTCTGGAGGGAAGCGGCATCTGAGGAGCAGATGAGAGACTTCATTGTGTGGCAGCTCTCCACTCTCAGTGGTCAGAGGTGACAGGAAGATGCCCAAGCAGAACACAAACCCACAAACTGTGTGTACTGCCTTGTTGGGCAGAGCAAACAGTGAAAAAACCCAAAGTGGTGCCTGTTATGATGAGGAGACCCAGAGGGGTTAGATCCCAGGAAGCCTGGGATGGGAGGATGCTAAAGGATACGCTGAGCAGAGGCCAAAAAGTGCCCCATTGATGCTGCAGATGGCATTCCTGGGCCCCAAGTGGGTTTATGTTCTGGAACCACGTAGGTGTTCCCTCATATGTGATATGCTGGGCGGGCATCTCTAACCAGCTCTAGGGCTGGGCAGCTTCGTTTACACCACATTCTAAACTCTGCCACTTAACCCTCTGCGACCTGATGTTCCTTATCTCATTTAAACTACAGTCATATCATTTAAACTACAGTCATATTGTGTTTGGCAGACCATCTAAGCACCTGAGCCAGGCCCTCACAGAAGAACACATTGTACTATACCCTTCTTACCAGCACCCTGCATTTCCCACCAGTCGGGTGGGACAGGGAGTACAGCTGAGTGCTCATCGTCTCAGATATCCTTTGTTAGTCTGTGAGCCCCACCCAGGCCCAAACTCCACCTCCTTCTTTCCTCCCCACTTCTCGGCCATTTTCAACTGCAGCAGGACACTCCCTTTCCAACTGCAAGTTTGTGCAGGCCTCTCCCTCCTCTGCTGGACGCTAATGTGAATGATAATGAGCTCTGCGCACAGGCTTCATCTCTACACTCACACATGCTCTGACCCTTCACACACATGCTTCCTCCGTACACAAGCGATGTGCCAAGGCCTCCTTTGGCCCCCTTCCGCATAGCCAGTTCCTACGACGCTGCATGACCCAGTGGAAAATCTTTTTTTTCCTGAACAGCCTTTCCCAGCACTCCAGGTCCCAGGCTATACAGGCTTCCTGCCCTTCACTCAAACTAAATCCTGTGCTTGCCTCTATGCCAGTGGTTCTCAGCCTGTGGGTCACAGCCCCTTTGGCAAACCTCTAGCTCCAGAAATATTTACATTATGATTCATAACAGCAGCAGAATTATAGGTATGAAGTAGCAACAAAAATAATTTTATGGTTGGGGGTCACAGCAGCATGAGGAACTGTGTTAAAGGGTTACAGCACCAGGAAGGTTGAGAACCACTGCCCTATGCTTTCACCTCTAGTGTGCAGGGCTATTTATGCTCATGGGAAAAGCCTGTACCATGTACTCAGTTCAGTGTCTAGAATGCAACCAAAAGTGTCACTCTGAACTCTGAGACATGGATGGCATGGAGAGTAGGATCTGGGGACCCACAGCACTCAGCTGGACTAGGATCTGGGTTTGCTGAGCCCTGCTCTCCCCCTACCCCGCCCCCCCCCCCAAGATCCTAGGCAAATTTCTGCCATCATTTTCTGGAGCAATCCCTCCCAGGGCCCGCCTAAATGTTGGGAAACACACAGTACAGTGAATTCCTCTATGAAGACCCTATCTAGTGCATTTTAAAGTTCTGTAGATTCCAACGCTCAGTGAAGGAGGAATGTGGGCTCACAGTGGGTAGATAAGGGGGTGCTGTATCGTGTCAGAGGCACATGGTGACATGAAGCTTTAATAGCTGATACATGGATGGAATATGGTTGAGCCCAGAAATCCCTACAGAGGCTGGCATTTCATCCAAGCACCCTCTACCCTTCTCAGTCACCTGTACTTCCAGACTTTGGCCAGGCTCTTCCGGTTCCAGAATCACTGGCTCCAGAAACTCACATGGATGTCCCTGGATGGAAGCCTCTCAATGCACACAAGCATGAGTATGCACCAACCATAAAAAATGCAGGGGAATCCAAGCTTCCAAAGGCCTGGAATGGGTCCTCCATCACCCTGTGGTGCAGAGGCAGCTGCAGCCTTCTTCCTTTGGTGGCATCTCACAGCACTGTTGCTCAATGGCTCTCTGGTTTTCCCAGTAGCTGCCTTCCTAGGGCACAGTTGCCCCTCCCCTTTGCTTGCCAGCCTGGGGCCATCCCTCCCCACCCCAGCCCATGCCACAAGAAGGACCAGGCTGAAGACTCTGCGTGCAGAGCAAAGAGCACTGGAGTCAGGGGTCGGGACCTTGGCATTTCACACCATGGCGCCATTCTGTGAGGTTTCCTTGGATTTGAAGTCACCATGAAACTGTTTTCATGAGGGCAAAGAGCTGTTTAGGAGCCTTCCTGGAACTGGGTGATGCTCCCAGAGGCAACGACTTCACGGAGCAAGATAGGGAGGAAGCTAATTAAGGGTGGCATAGGGAGAGCCGTGCTGAGGAACATTCTTAGACGAGTAGGCAAATCCCCAAAATGAGCCTCTTGGGGAGAGTCCTCCTTCTCCTTGGCAACTAACACATCCTCGGCCCCCAGTGGGAGGCAGCAGCCTCCCAGCCTATGAGAGCTGGCAGACAATGACTCTGCTCTCACAGGACCTGTCATTTGAGCAATTATCTAGGTGCATTGTGATGTTTCCCCCTCTAGCACATGGGACTCGTACCTGCTTCCTAGGACTGTGATAATGATTCAAGGGGAATGCATTACAGGGTGCTTCAAGAGGGATTTAGACACAATGCACCCCAGTGAATGGCAGCTACTGCCTTCTTGTCCTGTGCTGAACTTGTTACAGTTAATCATGTAGAGATGGTATAAGTGGAAGGGCTGCATGTGGGATTCCTTTTTCCTGTGACTGAGCTCTAGCCAACCTGTAGGAAGCAACAGCCATGTTTACCAAGTTGCCTTTCAAAGGTTACCTCAGAGTTTCCAAGCTGTGTGACAGCCACAGCCCAAACATTTGCAGCTAGTGATGTGATCCTCAGGGCAGGCCCAGGCAGTGTCTGGGTGGGGCCTGGGAGCCACAGGAGGGGCCCAGAGCCAAGCCGTGCCTGAGGTGGCAGGGAGGGAGTGCTGGGTGGGGCCTGGGCCTGTGCACACAACCACACCTACTAGCCGGGGAGTAGACGTGTCTAGTCACTGAGTAGAGACCAAGTAGTGAATCTTCCTCTCCCTGGGAAAAGCGTCTGTGAGGCAAACAGGATGGCCTGGTGGAAAGCCTGGGTAAGTGAGGATAATCTGGGGAGGTGGGTCCCTGCACCATGTTGGGTGATAAGCACTTGGTAGGGGGCAGAAAAAAAATAAAGGCTGAACTTGCTGGGCCAAGTCCTGGTGAGAAAGCTGGAAAAATAAAAATAAAAAAAAAGAACAAAAAGTCTGTCCATGCTTACAAAAGTTACTGCAGGGATGTGAAAAGCAAGACAGACAGTTTAAAGTAAGACAAAACAGAATTTAAAAAAAAAAACCTTGAAATGCAAAAGGGAAGAGGAAGGGCTAGAGAGTCCAGAGGGAGGCTTCTGCAGGAAAAGGGCACTTAACAGAGGGGCTTCCGTGCATGTGTGCAGTGTGTGAGTTTGTGCTTGGAGAGACTCCGGGAGGGAAGGCTGCTCCTTGCAGACATAGCGGTATGTAAAGCTTTGGAGAAAACTCACTCTGTGTGGTTTCAGTGTCCCGAGTGGGCTGGATCTAGACCTGGAGAAGCAGCCAGGATGGAGCATCAAGGCCTTGAATAACAGTCTAAGGAGTCTAAGGAGCTTAACTTTTGAACAATAGGGGGCTTCTGGAGCACTGTAAGCCAGAGAATGCTCTGGGCCAACACACTGCCGTCCAAGGAAATCATCAATACCCACAGCTTAAGGTATGAAAGGGAGTAGACTCGTACCACAGAATACCAGTGCTTATTTGTCAAAGTCAGGAGAAGGGCGAGTTGGCAGCAGGACCTAGCTCATGTACAACGGGATCACCGCATGAGCAGGCACAAGGCTTCCTCATCTCAGCTGGGGCACTCTCAGAGAGAAAGCGAGGCTCTGGGACATCAGGCAGCTTGCTCGGGTCCCTCATCAGCAAGCTTAGACCAGAGGAAGCCTGAGTCTCTGCAGCAGCCCTCGGGCTCTTTGTAGGCGGAGGCCCCAAGCTTGTCCAGCTTTGGGGAAATCTTTGTCACACTGTCACTATCCAGAAAGAGCTTTAGGTGTAGACACCCCGGGCTCTGGATAGATAGGACAGACATAGAAGACAGGGTAAAAGGAGCTGCCACTTCCCTCAGGGAAGGAGCCAGGACAGTGGCTGTCTCCAGTTGTACATCAGGGAGATCTCAGTGTTGAGCAGTTCCTAAAGTCAGCTGCTGGACCAAATGGCCCGATGCCGGGCCCTGCACTCCGTAGGGCAGGGGTAAGGGCCAACCTCTTGGGGACCAGAGTGATGATGATGTTGGCACTCTCAGAACCTTCTGTGTGGGGACACTGCTACAGGCATCTCTCATTCAGTGTCGTTAGAGCCTCGCGAGAAGTCTGTAAGGCAGGTATCGATGGCCTCACACGCAAGTCAGGAAACTGAGACTCAGGTGCACTAGACAGGCACCAAAGTTGCCACACTAGTAAGTGTTTAGGTCTGGGCAGCCTGAGTCCAGACACAGACTCAGTCATTCCGGGCCATTGACCCTTAGGAGAGCTGACTCGGGACAATAAAGCCTCTGTGTCTGACCAGGCAGCCAGTGAGGACCAAATGTCCTCTGAGCACAAAGCTGGATTAGAAACAGGATTTAGGGAGTGGCAGAATGGCCAGAGTGGGCCTGTCTTCAGAACAGGGTCCCCTTGATCCCCTTGAGGAAGCAGCCTGTGAAGGGATCAGGCAAAAGTATGGCAGCTCCTTCTTGCCTGTGACGGAAGGTGTTCTAGACATAGCAACCAGGACAGCCTGAATGACCTTTGCCTGGGATGTATCTGTCTGGACTCACCATCCTCAGGGTAGCTCCATCAGGAGCCTGAGACCGACCTACAGGGGCTGGAATAGATGCCTCCAGATCGCCACTCCAGACAGGCTCCCAGAATGTTGCCCACTTTCTATAACAACCTTAGCAAGGGAAGTGAGACAGACTTCTCAATGTGGGGATATTCTAGCCAGCCTTAGAGCTGCTGACAAATACTGGTCCCTGAAGGGTATGGGGACCCTCCTCAATCCATAGATCTCTGAGGTCAATTTGGAGCAGGGAGCAAAATAAGGAAGTGAGAACTCAAATGTTCCCCACCCCCATGCTCCCAGAAGACCAGAATGCCTATGGGTGAGGCTCTCTGCAGTGAAACATTCCAAAAAAAACCAGCGTCTGGGGAAGAGTGAATCATTGTAGAGTGGGAGAGGTAGACAGGGCTCAGATTCTGAGTCAGGCTGTGGGTGAAATGCCAGCAACACCATTTGCCACCAAAACCAGCCTCCTGGCCTGTAACTTGGAGCATTAACACCTAATATGACTGCTGGGATGGGGATGAGCTGAGCGTTACGGCCGGTACACTTTACAGAAGGAGTACTCCCATGGCCTTCGAGTAGTAGCTGCACGTGACCTCACAACAAGGACTATGTGTATGTGGACAGCGGAGCAGCGTCTGAGACCACACTGGCTCACCCCAGGAATTATTTCTAACAGTTCCTGTTATAAAACATGGTACAATAGATGGGACATGAAGATCAAGCAAAGGATGCAGAAAGATGTTTTGTTTCTTACTCTTAAGGACGTACTATCCATGAGGACCTGTTCTGTATTTTCAGGATCTACCCTGAGGTTTGGGTGGAAGGATGGATGGATGAATCAACGGAGTGAAAAAGGGAGAGATAGATGGAGGATGCTTGAAAGGAAATGAAGAAAAGGGGAAGGAAATGGGAAGGGGAAGAAATGAGAGGGGAGTGGAAGGAAAGAGGAAGTGGGGAGGAGGGGGAGGGCAGGAGATGGTGTGAGGGTTGTGTAGGTGGGTAGAGAATTAGTGAACAGGTGGGTGATGGAGTGGGTAGGAAAGCAGGTGAGTGGAAGGGAACAGAGGAAGAGCTGGCGAACAGGTGAGTGAATGACCAGCATGGGTTTGACTAAAGTCTCCATCTGAAGGACCTGGGTCTCCCCCATTCAATTCCTTCCACTCCTTACCACTCCTTCCCCTAAAACACACACTTTTGAAGGGCCGTCCATCATAAACATCAGATAAATTATGCAGAACACACATACAAGCGGCCCTTGCGCATGCCCTGGATTGGAGGCTTGTACGGCAAGGGTTTGTGCACTTTGGTTATCAAGTTTATTCTATTATCCATAGAACATCCCGCAGTTCTTTCTAAATGTCACCCTCTGCCCAATATGATCCCGTGGTCTTGCAAACCATCTGAGCCTGGGAGAGAGATGCTCATCTTTGCCCCTGACCCTGTGAAATACCCACACCTCATCATAGGAAAGACCAGGACAGGTTTGGACCCTTCCTTGCAAAGACAAAAACATGTCCAACTCCACATTCCCTATGCAGACACTCAGCTTTTAGAAATCATTCCTTATGAATTCATTTCCACCAATCAATCCTGTTTCTCCAGGCCTGGAGAAAGGTACATGTGACCAGTCTGCTGCCTGCTCTCAGTCAACGGATGGTTTTGTTTTGTTTTGTTTTGTTTTGTTTTGCTCTGTGTGTGTGTGTTAGTATAAATATCGATAATTTATTTTTATTTTATGTTCATTGGTGTTTTCCTTGCATGTATGTCTGTGTGAAGGTATCAGAAGTCCTGGAACCAGAGTTACAGACAGTTGTGAGCTGCCATGTACGTGCTGGGAATCGAAACAGGGCCCTCTGGAAGAACAGCCAATGCTCTTAACTGCTGCCTCTGGTCCCAGCCACACCTGCCTATTAGCTAAGGGACAGGAGAGCTCAGCCGCTGTTCTGCAAGGCTCCATCTGTCTCGGTGCCTAAGTCAGGTCCTTAGCCTAACAGAGTGGACTACGAGGCTCCTATGCCCTTCCTGTACTTCCCACGATGAGCAGGCCTGGCTGTCTTGCAGGTTGAACAGGAGGGCGTCACTGTGAAGGGCAGTTCTCACTTCAACCCAGACCCTGATGCAGAGACCCTCTTCAAAGCCATGAAGGGGATTGGTGAGTAACCATCTATGGCCTGACCACTGGGGCCCCACATGCTCACATCCCCAGAAAGGAGATACCAGGGACAGTCAGGCATTAAAGGTGTCCCCATTTTATTCTAAGTGGCTCCATTCCCCAGAGAATCACACCAGCTCTGAGGTCAGTGACTGTTCATTCCCAAGTAAGAATGACAGGGAAGGCTGTCAGTCTAAGATTTCTCACTTGTAAAATGGCTGCGAGAACTCTGGACCCACGGTGTCACTGTGAATTCAGAAGATGGATTGGCACAGGGCCTGCTGTGGGCATGGAGATGGAAGTTTAGATGCTGCACCAGGGGTACCAGCCACATGGATTCTGCAGCTTGTCCCCTGCCCATGTTGGCTGACCAGACGGCCAACCTCTTCCAGCACCACCCTCGCATGACTGTGAATGGGAGAGGACTGGCTTATGCTAGGACTGGGTCTCACTCCAGGTCGGAGTCACCCTTTGGCTGGCTCTGCCTAGTGAGATGGGGCACTGAAGAGAACTACCATTCCCAGGGGTGCTTATACCAGATTCTCACACCCGCTGCTACCTGTGAAATCTTTACTATTATCCCTGCTTCCCACCTGAGCAAATGGAAGCTCCAGGAGATGAGCCTACTTGTCTTGATCTCCACAAGACCTACAGGGCAGGGTCTCAGACACATGGTCTGGACTTTTAGTCATGACCTTCCTCTAATGTGACCAACATAAGGGAAGAGATTGAGGATATCTCACTAGGTCACACTTCAAAGGCTGGTGTCCAAAGACCCCTGTCACTGGTTTCTATGCTATGAAGTCAAGCCTGAGCCACACCCCAACACTATGCAAGTTGGAGGTGGGGAGCCAAGAGGTGAGCTACCTGGGTGCCTTGTTTACACCGTGGAAATTGGGCATTTGGGGCTATTCAGATAGTATGGCCCAAATGCCCAGCCAGCAGGCTCCTCTCCTCTCCCCTCCCTAGTCTTTTCTGATGCCCCCGAGGAAGAGGGGATTCTCACACTGTACACCCTTGCAGGGACCAATGAGCAGGCCATCATAGATGTGCTCACCAAGAGAAGCAATGTGCAGAGGCAGCAGATTGCCAAGTCCTTCAAGGCTCAGTTTGGCAAGGTAAGCGAGAAGGGTGTTGAAGACTGGGCAGCTCCTCCGGGGATGGACACATGCGCACAGGGGACATTGCATTAAAATGACCCTTCCAGTCATCTGTAGTTGTTGCTCCCGCTGTTCTGTTTTATCTGGCAGACCCATTTACAGCTCCCGAGCCCTGGCCTGGCATTGGCCTTGCATGGCCGGGCCCTGTTTCTTCTCCATTCTTTCTCCCTACAGTTCTCAGTTTTCCCTCAGGATCCAGCCTCGGCTCTCTTCAGCTCTGTCTGTCCCCACCATCTGAACCGGCCTCCCTCTTCCCTGCTTCCTGGCAGTGCATGCCCTGGCTCCCTTCTGTCCCACAGCACAGACACATGCTTCTCATGTTCACTTACATGTCCCTCATCTCTCCTGCCACTCTGCTCTCTAGGGACACTCCAGCTGCTCTGAGCACAGAGCCAGGAATTTGGAGGTACACACTGAATGACAGAAGTTTGTGCCTAGACATGGGTGCCTGGAGCATCCCCCTCTGCTCACAGATTTAACACAGAAACATCCGTGATGGAGTGCAAGCATCCCCAGTGAAACCACACATTTGCAACTCCTTTTCCTTACCCCTCCAAGCTACACATTGTCCTCAGTGTCCAACATCAGAGAGGTGGAGTGACTTGCTGAGGTTCCAGAGCTTGTAAGCAACAGGTCTGACAAAGTCCTGGAAGGATCACCTGGGCGTGGCTTAGTGGCTTCTTGTAGACGCGTGTGCCCTTAGAAAGAGACAGGTGTGAGATGGAATCTCCGAATCTCTTCCCTTCTTCCCTTTCCCCACTTGTTTTTTTTCCCTCCCCTCACTGAATCGTTTAATGATGTAAGCATGATGCTGCCACGCCCAGATCTTGCCATCTTGAAAGCAATGGCAATTCTATTTTCTTGAGTTTAGAATGTGCCCAGAATGTTCGCAGAGTTGCCGTACATCCCTGTCAGTCAATAAGCAATGGTGTGAAGCAGAAGTTCCATTATCCCTGTTTAACAGGTACAGATGATGATGTTTAGAGAGGCTCCTGGCCCAGGAGACTGACCACAGCAGCATGACACCTCCGTCATGTGGGAAGAAGAGTCTCCAGGCCAGGCCCCACCTGCCGCACTCCGGGGGGCCTGGAGGACAGGTCATCTCACCTTTCCTTTTGCCTGCCTTAGGACCTCACTGAGACCTTAAAGTCAGAGCTGAGTGGCAAATTTGAGAGACTCATCGTGGCCCTCATGTACCCGCCATACAGATACGAGGCCAAGGAGCTCCATGATGCCATGAAGGTACTCCACTTTGCCATACATTAGAATGGCCACCCCCCCCCCCCCCCGCTTACCTCATGAGCTTGCAACCTGCTCAACCAGCCACCCAACAGCGGGGCTGGCCAGTCACAATGAAGGCCCAGATCAGAACTTCTTAGAATAGGGTTGGACCAGAAGTGCAAGGGAGCCAGAAACCCATCTCTACAGTCCAAGCCCTGCCCCTCGGTCATCCTTCACTTCTCACAACTCATGTCACCTTCACAGATTAGTAGCAATGGAGACCTAGAAACCACAGTCATTCCTACTGAAAAGATACTTCCATGGTCTATGTCAGGCATTTTACAGCTGTGATCTCTAATCCCACCTTCAGGGTAGGGTGGTTCTTATCCTCTTTGACAGAGGATGGGGAGGTGTCACCACCTGTGTGAGACCACCCAGATAAATAAGGGGAGCTGAGACACCTTGCCCCAATAGCTGTCACAAGAAAAAGGTGGGGATTCAATATCACCCTTCAACATACGCCCCATCAGAAGAGGGCAGAGCGGTGGCCACAGCTCCTGAGAAGACAATACAGGCAGAGCAGGAGACCAAGGGCAGAACACTCCAGAACATACAGGCTTCTGTCCCCAGGGCTTAGGAACCAAAGAAGGAGTCATCATTGAGATCCTGGCTTCGCGGACCAAGAACCAGCTGAGAGAGATCATGAAAGCCTATGAGGAAGGTGAGGGGGTTGCAAAGATGGCCGAGGTTTGGCAGCCTGTCAGGGAACAAGAGGCAGTTCCCAAGGGAACGAGGCCATATTGGAAAGGACCCTTTGGAGGGTCTTTCCATGCAGGTCCACCCGGTACCGACATGTGCCAAATCCTGTGCCCGACAGTAATTGAGCACGGCTCAGATATGGGAAGAGAGATGTGTGCCCAGCTGAGCTCATGTCCCTTAAGGCTGTGGCAGTCCTGGGGAACAGAGGCAGGAGGGACAGGAGAGTACTTACTGGCTGCCCATGGGCTAAGCCAGAACACTGGTCATCTGCTAGGGCCACATTGTGCTAGAGGAGCCCCACTGGCCAGCTCTCCCACATAGTACACAGCCTGCCAGGCAAGCAAAGGCCAGCCAGTCCTCCACATTGTGCACCTGGCCAGGGTTGTCTGAAGGCTGTGGCTTTGCTGAATCTGGTAATATAATGGTCTCAATCCCACAGCCTTGGTCTGGGTCTCCGGCCTAGTCTATTTCTCCCTTTGGCTTGGTTGTACATTTATGGCACTTTGGGGTCTGAATGATCACCTAGATGGGTGGCTACCACAAGGACATCTAACTGTTACATGTACACCTTCTGTGCCAAGAACTTGTCCTCCCATGGGGAGAAGAGGGAGAAGTAGGCATGGGAGAGGAAAGTGCGTGCTGGCAGGCCCTGGGTCAGTCACTGCCCATGCCCTCTGGTTCTGTTTTCCTGCAGACTACGGGTCTAGCCTGGAAGAAGACATCCAAGCAGACACCAGTGGCTACCTGGAGCGGATTCTGGTGTGCCTCCTGCAGGTATCACAACCCAGACTCCAGGACTGTGGCTTGGAGATCCATAGCGCCCCACCCCGGCAGCAACTCTTGAGCAATGCCTCTGAGTGAGAGCTGGGCATTGGGGAAACCCAGTGGTCTGCGGGCACCATTTGTGCCTTGGCATGAGAGGAGGGTCCTGACTGCAGAGCCCATGCCTCTCTTTCCTCAGCTTTTGTGTGGCCCCGTGCCAGGCTCTGCCCAGCTTAGCTCACTGAATCCACCATTCCAATGAAGTAGCTCATCTCCTCCCATCCTACAAATGCCAAAAATGAGCCATGAAGACCGCTGGCTGGCTTGTCTCATGGCCAGGAAGCAGCAGTCCTTCCTGACCTGCCCTCTGAACCCCACTGTCCCTCAGCCGGTGTGTTCTGATTGGTGACCTGCCTTACAGAGTGGTTTCCTCTGATCCTAGGGCAGCAGAGATGATGTGAGCGGCTTTGTGGACCCAGGACTGGCCCTCCAAGACGCACAGGTGATTCTGGACCCCAGCCTTAGCACCTGAACCCTGAGCTCTATGGTCCCCTTTGCCAAGGGAGTTGTCTTTAGCACAGACCCCCACCCTACAGCCTCCACCTTGTGGTGACTAAGGAGGAAAGTGAGGTATCTGAGAAGCGCAGAAGAAAATGGAGAAGCTGGGGAGTGAAGGAACGAGGGTGCTCCCGGCACAGCCATCCTCTCCGAGCCCAGAGCTCACTCACATGCAGATCTCTGCGTATCCGTCTATTGGGAGAGCGCTTGTTACTCAGTGTTCTCGGAGCAATGGGAGAGGGAGCATTTCCTAAAGCAGCTTCTGGCCTCAGACAGAGAAGAGCCAACACTATTGGTAGAACAGGAGCTCAGGCCAGTGAACCGCCATATTGTGCTGTCCAAGTGAATGGTAGCTAACTCACAGCCCTGGCTCTGGGGCTCTGGTATTCTCCCTCACCTCCTCGTGTCTCAATACTAGGATCTGTATGCAGCGGGTGAGAAGATCCATGGGACCGATGAGATGAAATTCATCACCATCCTGTGTACACGCAGTGCCACTCACCTGATGAGAGGTACGGAGCAGAGGGGGAAATGCAGGGGTGCATGGCGCCCTAGGCACATGACCTGTTCTTTGTGTGGAAGGTCTCATGTGTAGTCTTATGTGGCTTAGGCTTGGGAAGAGGGCCATGAATACCTGAACTCTTCACCCTGTGCCATGAGGGAGGCAAAGATGGCACACTGACGTGCAGTATGTAATCTATGTGTCCCTTGAGTAACTCCTCTCCATAGTGTTCGAGGAATATGAAAAAATTGCCAACAAGAGCATTGAGGACAGCATCAAGAGCGAGACCCATGGTTCACTGGAGGAGGCCATGCTCACTGTGGGTAAGAAGGGGGCTTGGCTCTTGGCACATGCATCCACAGCCCAAGAAGGTGATAGCAAGTGACTGGAGTTCTATACTCAAGGCACACCTCCTCATCCCCAATGCTCTCAATCTGTACCCTTTAGCCCAGGTCCCCGGGACCACAGCACTCAAGAGTCTCAGTGTGGCCTGCTGAGAACTATTCTTTGTGCTATTTATATAGTCCCCCATGATGCATGAGTGTGTTTGTGTGTGAGTGTGTATACACATGAGTGTTACCACAATGACTTCAGGACCAGGGCCCAGGGCTACCCACAAATACTCGGAGAGCATTCTGCCTCTGCTCCTGTAGCTCTGCCCAAAGCCACCTTTCTGGACCGAATCTAAGTACCAAGCTACCACCTCAGTAGCTAATTGAAGAAACGAGGGTGTGTGATTTGAGTCCCAACCAAGAGAAACATGGAAAACTTTGCCTGCAACAGAAGACCGAGTCAGCTTACCATAACCTGTCCATAGCACATCTTGGGTCTAAAGCTGAAACCATGTGGGAAGAGTCACAGTAGAGCAGACACCTGAGCCAAGCAGAAGGACACCCATATATCACCTTACATAATGGAGCTGAGATGAGGACTCCCAGGCTAGGCATTTACCTCCACCCCAGACTTGCCTCTGGAGGCCAGTAGTTCTAAGGTCTCCTCTCTCTACCCCCATGTCTCCAGTAGCTACCAACATCTGAGGTTCTCAGGCCAGCTTTGGTGACTGTGGTAAAGTTTATTTGGTTTATTCTATGTTGCAAGAGTTAAACACACCCTCTGATGTCACCTAGGATTCTACTCATAGACCCTAAATCCTAATGCCTTCTAAACAGCAAAGGTGTACAGGACCACACTGTAATGGGCAGTTCCTGCTCATTTTTTCTTCAAGTCTTAGTCACCCTTATGTCACAGATGTGTCAGAAGGTTGAGTAACAAAGTCACACAGAATCAAGACAGAGTTTATATACATTCCTACCTCCCACACAGCCCACACTCTCAAAGTCTTGGGTTAAAACACCATCACCCAACACAGGTGTCACAATCCATGAAATAAATTTCTATGGAAAGGAAAAAATAAGGTCCATGTTCCAGGCCAACAACTCCTAGCACCCTAGTCCTTAAAGCCAAGCCTCTTTTGTTACACGAAAATTCAAAATGTGGGTTTCTAACACACTGGGAACTCTGAGACCTGTAGCCACCATTCTGTGGCAACCTATGTGGAACCAAGTCATCAAATTCTTAGTGGAGATACTTCCTGAATGTGACAGCTTAAAGATGCCCTCTAGAAGACCCAAGCTGGTGACTCCAAATGAGCCCCACAGGTGCCCAGTGCATTTCACATCTCACCCTTTGGCCTGGCTGCTCTGGGCTTTTGGAGCTGTGCTCATTGCCCAAGGCTCTGCTCCTTGCCTCACTCTCTCTGCCCCACACAAAGCCTTCATTTTGAAGCTGGGTGGCACACAAAGAAACATGTCAACCTTTACACAATACTAACCCTTAACGCCCACAGGAACACATAAACGAACACAAGACTATGCGACACCACCTACACCCTTCTGCTATTATTAATAGAGTTTTCTTGTTTGCCAGTGAAATGCACTCGGAACCTCCACAGCTACTTTGCAGAGAGACTCTACTACGCCATGAAGGTAACTGTTCTGGCTGCGGCCTCCTTTAGAGTCGGCCCTCTATGATGCCAGATGCACAGCCAGGGTGCTCAGAGCTGCTGCTGTCTGAACTCTGGGTCCCTTTGTCCTACTCTCATGCATCAGAAGGGTTTGCATTCCCAGCCGGCAAACTAGGCCTAGGGAAGGGAAGCCTCATCTCCAGAAGGTGCGTTTGAGCAGCTGCATTGACTGGTGTTCCTTGAAGGCTCACTGAACCTTGACACCTCTGTGAGGTCCATATCACACCTGCCATCTGAAATGTGGTGAAACTAAGACTTGTTCAAGGTCACATGGCTGCTAAGTGGTTGAGCCATGCATCCATCTTGCGCCCATAGGGTTGTGCTTTTCACTACACTATACCTCCTCTTTGAGAACAAATTGGTTGTTGCAGGCCCTATGTGGGCACAGCTGGAACCCCAACACCCTTGACATAGGCAGACTCTAGGGACATTGCCACATCTGGCATGTCATTTTTCCTACCCATGACCAGGCGCTAGCTTCAGAGTGTCTGTTGTTTACAAGGCTTCCCTGGCCACAGAAGTGGACATGCTGCTCCTTACAAGTAGACCTGTTGGGATTGGGAACTACACTGGAGGAGAGACATTCACAGTATTTATCAGTGACTAATGTCAGTGCCCAGCTTCTCTAGTACATGACGCTGGCACCATCTAAAGCGAGAGTCATACCATCACCCCCAAGCCTTCTGAACACCTTGTCCTGTGAAGGGCAGAGTGTGCTATTTCCTTGGTCATGAAGCTCCATCTGACTCAAGGCTAGTCAGCGATAAGAGAGAACCAGAAGGTCCTGCTCATGAAACGGCCAGTGGAGAAACCTTGACAGTGATGCTGTCCAAAGAAGAAATCTTCCTGGGGTGGTGAGGGTTTTGTGTCTAGAACCTGGTGCAGTACATCAAATGCATACAGCAACTTGAGGCAGCGGGCTTCGATAAGAAAAGGAACAGCCAATGAGTGAGGAGGTTGAGAAAGAGGAGCCCTTTGTCATGGGCTGTAGATGCAGCTCAGTGCTAGAGCACTTGCCTAGCGTGCCCAAGTCCTGGGGTTCAATCCCTAGCAGCACCAAAGAAAAGAATTCTGAAAAGAAAAAAACTGTGTCATCAAAACCCACCTCTTGTGTTCTCCCCGCTGAAGCAGAGGCCCATTCCTACACTTCTAGCTCTTTATAAATCCCCACGCAGGTTTGTCCATCATTACAGAGGTAGATAGGAAATGTGAAATATGGTGGTTGATTGTCACTGTCTTATCCAGGGAGCAGGGACACGTGATGGGACGCTGATAAGGAACATCGTTTCAAGGAGCGAAATTGATTTAAACCTTATCAAGTGTCAGTTCCAGAAGATGTATGGCAAGACTCTCAGCAGCATGATCATGGTAAGACACAGGTCCTCAACTTTACTGCCAACTTGTGACACAGACATTCTGGACATGAGGTGTTATGACTGATGTCACAGGTGACCATCCCTTCTCAGTGGGCATCTCACACTTGTACTGGTTACCATGTGGCACATGCAGGGACTGGGAAGGAGGGAAGTGTAACTATGGATGTAGCAGAAGAGTATGTGCAGACTAACGGAGCTCAGAGGCCTGCCCTTGTCCCAGAAAGGGGCTTTGCATTTGAGCTGTGGAATACACCAAAGCCTTGTGAAAGGAACCATTTCTGAAGGAGCGATGACACTAAGTAGTTCTGTAGACATCGGAATTCCCTTCCAACCCAGATCTAAGGAGTCCTAGTAGGGAACTCTTAGGCTCCAGTGATCACTTGCCTACATTCCAATTAGTGGAAGTGCCAGGGTGCTAAGTGTCGAGGGATGGCATCATGCTATGACTGAAACCAACAGCCTGTCTGGAAGCTAACACATTTTTTCATTGCCAGAAGTCAAATCATGGCAAGCATATCCATCCCTAAGTCTTCCTTAGCTGCTCAGTCAAGTGGCTAGTTCTCCTACCAGGGTGGATTATTGACTACGTTTGAGAAGCAATTCACAGTTTACCTATAACTGGCCCTATGCATTTGCTGGTTCAGACAACCAAGGACCAAAACCATTCAGGAAAAGATGTATCTGTACTGAACATGTACATACTTTTTTTCTTGTCATAGTTCCCTGATCAGTATGGTATGACTATTTATTCCCATTGTATTAGATATTATAAATAATATTTATATTATTATATTATATTATATGGTTGTTTACAGTATAGTTTACAGCATAATTTAAAGCCAAGGCCAGAGGCATTACCTATCAGGGACTTGGGCATATATATTTTGGCATCCATGGAGTCCTGGAACCATTCTCCAATGGATACTGAGGGACAACTGTATATTTAAAAAGCACTGCCTTAAGAGGTTTCAGGTAGGATGGTGTCAGGGAAGCAGGCAGGAGGACAGAGGAGTTGGAATTATTATTTGTTGTGTTTTAGACTTCGCAGTCAACTTATCAGGAGATAGGAGACTAAGCACAGGCCAGCCAGTGCTGCTGCCAGGTCAAGGTCACTCACAAGGTGTACCTCATCACATTTACAGATGAGAGAACAGGTCTCAGGGAGGCGAAAGGAGGCTCTGTGTGCGTTAACAGAGCCATGGGCCAGGCCTGCAGGACCTAAACCCAAGCTGTCTCTGCCCCATGCTCTATGTCGAGATGTGACTCTGGGTTCCTCGCTTTCAGCGGGGCTCCCTGAAGTGCCCTAGCAGGTGTTGAATACATATAGGTCATGTTGTATAAGTGAATGGCTCTGAACCTCTGGTCCTGAGAGAAACGTTAGGGAGAACCCTGGGGCAGTTGACTCTATAAGGAAACCACCCACAAGCCTTCCTTGTCTAAGAGCTTAGGAGTGGCTCAATCTCCGTGAGTCATTTCCCACAACTCCCCCCGCCGCGCCCCGCCCATTTAGCTGGACAGAGAATCAAAAGAGGAATCAAAGGAATAGCCTGAGATGAGAAAAAAGAGGAATGGCATTACATGGAACTGTGGTGTAAAAACCCTTGAAGGGACAGGCGCCACCCAAGGAGCACAACTCTTAGCCAAGGTAACAGAGGAGCAAGGCCAACATCGCAACGCCCCCCCTTCTAACCCACATGTGCCTCCTTCCTCCAGGGTGACACCAGTGGTGACTACAAGAATGCCCTGCTGAACCTTGTGGGCAGTGACCCCTGAAGACATCCAAAGACCAAGGGCAGGAAGTGTGAGCCGTAGGGACTGCAGCTTCAGCCCTGACCATCGGTGGGGTGGGGGTGGGGAACACCTCGTCCAGCTTTTAGTCTCTGTCCCCCAATTTCCAGTGCTTCTCATCCAATGCTTCTGACCCAGAAGGTGAGACCAGCCTGTGTTCGTCTTTGCACCTCTCCCCTGAGTTGATCCAACTACTGAATCAGGGACTTTGGAGAAGGAGCCAACCCCCATGGATTTCTAGCAGGTGTCTTAGCCCATGAGCTACATCATCAGGCAGCCAGTGGGGGTGTTGGAGAACCCTGCTATTTTAGAAAACCCAGCCACAGAAACTGAGAAAGAGCCATATCTCTGCCACTTGGGATGTCTGTAACATTCACTGTCCAGAAATTGTTAGGTTGTAGATGAACAAAAATTCTTACACCATCCTAATAACAGTCATTAGATTAGTCTTGACCCAAGTCCACTGTGGCCTGAGAGACTCAGGCTTGTCCAGGCCTTGGCCAAACCAGCTGCTTGTTCCCTCCATGGTGAAGCCTGCAGATTAGGAAGGCACCCAACCCCGCTTATGAATCCTGACCTCCTCCTGTGGTCTCCAAGCCTGAAGAAGCTGAGAGAACTTTTCCTAATATTCATCGAGCTTTCAGAATCATAAATATGTGTACTTTCAAAAAGTCTGTGGATTTGTACGGGGTATGTGTGCGTGCCCTGGGGTGGAGGGTATGCTTGCCTACTGGGGAGGCCAGAGGTCAACATCAAATTGTCTTCTTCAATTTCTTCTCCACCTTCATTTTTTGTTGTTCTGTTTCTTGAGACAGGGTTTCTCTGTGAAGCCCTGGCTGTCCTGGAGCTAGCTCTGCAGACCAGGCTGGCCTCAAACTCAGAGATTTGCCTGCTGGGACTAAAGGTGTGGGCCACCCTGCCTGGCTCTCCACCTCATTTTTGAGACAGGGTCTCTCAGTGAACCTGGAGTTCACGATGTCCACTAAGCTTACTGACAGGTGGGCGCCTGGGCCCTGCCTGTCTCCGTTCCCCCGGTAATGAGGTTACAGACATGGAACCCATGCCCAGCTTTTATGTGAGTGTTGGGGATCCCAACTCAAGTCCCCGGGCTTGTGCAGTAAGCCCTTTACCCTCTGAGCCATTGCCCAGCTCTATCAGTGGATGTTTAGCAGTGCTCAGAGTGAGAAACAGCTTTAGGGGGAGAACCTGTGGCCATTTCCCTAAGGGAACGCTTGGAGTGACATGTGTCCAGTGTTGCTCTGGGGACAGAACTTCTAAGTGATGATCATTTGCATTCCCTTCCTAGTTTGTGGCCCAAATTCCATTATCTCAGGCTAGACCGGGCATTAAAGTTAGCTGAAGCTTCTCTGTATACAGCACTCATGCACCCAGGGTGGTCCTTGCTGAACTCGGCATATATCGGGTATACCTGGCCGCAGCCAGAGATGCGGACTTACTGGATTCTTGGATGGCACTGTCTTTTTCCTGTGTCTGCAGAGCCCTTCCCACCTCAGCCAAGTCTGCCCCATCGTGCCCACTGCTTGCCATGCTCTACCAAAGCACAAAATGTTCATTCTTTCCCAACAATGGTTTGTCAGAAGCAGGCCACGTATTCTACCAAGAATGCCCAAGCTAAATTGCTGAAGTCCTTCCTACTGCCCCTCCTGGATCCTGATTTCAGCCAGGGTCTCTGAACGTGTTCTAGCTTGCAAACTCCAAAGAGAGGCCCCAAGGGTAGAGGCACTTCCTGAAGTGAGAGGTCAGGATAGAAAAGGCATGGGCTCGGGATGGGGGATGGGCTCTGGCTCTGCCATGCGGGTTCCATGACTCTTAGTCACTTTCTCTGTGTATGTGTATTGTCCTTCCCTGTCAGTGCAGGTAGGATCCTATATATCAAACAACCCTGGACCGGGGGGTGTAAACCATAGTTTTCTGGTGCTCCGGATTGGATAGGTCAGGAAGTCAACCATGGATCAGTGACAATGTCTTATCTCTACTCTGAAACATCTGGAGATGGCACAGAGAAAAGCTAAGGATCAGGGCAAGTAGAGCAGAGGACTAGAAACTTCTACACCTGTGTCGGTCGGGTGCCTGGTGAGTCATGGAAGACTGCATTCCACTGTGCCCTAGAACTCTTACATACAGCCTTCCTGGCATGGGAGCCTCAGGGTGGGAGAGTTCTTTGTTAGCTTAAGTTACCATAGTCACCCAGTGGGCAAGGAAGACACTGTATTGTCTTCTGTGAGTCATACGGCAGCATTTTCCCCAGGTCCTATTGATTAAAGACATCACATGGCACCCCACATTCAAGAAAATGGGACACAGACCTCATCTGTCAATGGGAAAAGGGTCAAACAGTTGGGGGTTATGTTTTAATTCATCACTAGTGGTTCCCAAAATATATCACAGTGTGCAGCACAGTCTACTCGTATGAAAGGCTGCCATCGGTAGGGCTGGAGCGAGCTTCGGAAGCCTTGCAGGGCCAGGCCTCAAACTGCAATGCGAGGTTGTAGGGCTGCTGTAGGTCCCAGAGAAGGCTTCCTTGCTCACTGGAGCCCCCATAACATCAGTTTTATGTTCAGCTGTGAGCATTGTGAAGAACTCACACTTTTCTTCCACTGCTCTGGGTGCTGGAAAACCTAAGGGCAAGGTGTGGTCTGTCAGTTCCTAGTGGGGCTGTCTTCCCAGCTTGCAGATGGCTGCCATCTCTCTATGTTCTCACACAGTCCTCTGTCCTTTGTGCTCACCTACAGAGAAAAACAATGCTCTCTGTCTTTCTCTTTCACATCACCAATCCCAGCATGAGACGCCACCTAGCCCTGCTCACCTGCAAAGGCCCCGTCTCAAATGCCATCACACTAGGAGGGTAGGGGAGCTTCCACTGCGAGCATTCAGTCTACAACACTGCATTGCTGAAGCATGGCCACTGTACTAACAGCTGGGGCAGCATGTGTCACCTGGATCCTGTCCTGGGTGATGACACCTTTTTCCTTCTTTTTAACAGGGAAAGTCCTATGTCCAGCTTCCATTCAGCGCCGAGTCACTGTCTACCCAAGTGGTTCAGGAGGAATTAGGATTTCTCAGCACTACATTCACATACCCACCAGTAGCTCAGTGGGTACACAATTTGCTCAGAGGCCACCCCAAAACAGACTTCGTGTGGAGGCTGCCCAGGAAATACCGTGTCCAGGTTCACACCTCACAGAATAATCTGCTTTAAGATAATCACACAAAACAGAACACATGGCCATGTCTCATAGGAAAGGACACTGGAACAGTATAGGCACAGGCCTCCTTCAGTCCATGCTCTCAGTACAAAAGGGGTCATGTGATATCACTGCCAGGTGGTTGCATCGGGTATAATTTAGCACATGACCCTGGTGGTGGCCAGAGAAGAAAAGGGATGTGACCAATGCCCTCCTCAGCGCTCCAGATAACTTTGTTGTTACAATCTTTGGGCCACATTGATCGATCCCATTCCAAAGACATGGTTGCAATTGTTATGTGGGACTTTTAAAAACACACCCGATTTAAAGAAACTTTAGGGTCTGCTTAGTGCAACTGCAGCACAGGAGGAAAACGGAGTCATGATTCTCCGTTTAGCTGAAGTTTTCAGCCTCCTGTACCTTCTCTGAGGCCCATCCATGCGCTTCTCCGATTCCAGCTACAGCAGCAACCCTCCATCTCTCCCAGCATCACCCAGTGACATTTGAACACTCTGGCCTGTCTTTAGCAAGAATCCTGTTTGGTGGCTTTTGTCAGAGTTCCCTTTACCCCTGTGTCTCTACTGACCCTTAACCCTGCTCCTTGATTCTAAGTCCCCTTTACTCCTGCTGTCCCCAGAGCTAAGAAGGATCTGTGGGAGGTCTCTTTTCCCTTCATGCAAGCCCCGAATAGAATCCACTTTTACAACTTGAGCTGTGGTGCAGCTCTGGTTTCTCTGTGACCATGGGTCCTCTCTGCTCGTGGTTTAGCCATGACTCTGGCCTGGTGTTCCTACTTCTTAGCTCTCTCGGAAGGATAACATATCCAGGGGTCTGCTCCAACCTGCCTTGGAGGTGTGTAACTGACTCCCTTAGAGCTAGATTCCGTTTCCTCCATTACAACATGAGCTAGCGAACAAGGGCTGAGCTGGGCCCAGAAAATTGAGCCCAAATCTGTTCTATGGCTGTGATTTGAAACAGTCTTCTTCCTGTAAGAGCTTCTGAGGGCTTCCAATAACCTTTTAGGAATTCCTTTCTGCTCAAGCAATCTGTAGCAGATGGTCCTGCTGGAAGCCCTGTTACACAGTATTACTACTTTATCCCGTTTTTCTCAGAAAAACTGAGTTGTGACGGTAAGAACCTTGCCCTGTTCATTTCCGAATATTCAGTGTCTGAGTTAGTTACTTTTCTATTTGCTATAATCAAATAGCTGACATAAATAACTTAAAATCAGAAAGATGTGTTTGGGCCCATGGTTTCAAAGGGTTTGGTCCATGGCCATTCGGTCCACGTTAACTTGAGCAGAGCATCATGGTGCTAGGAACATATGTCGAGAAGGTTTTAGCATCATAGCAAGCAGAGTGAGAGAAGGGGCCAAATATCACCAAAGACCCACTATGACCTACTTCTTCCAGCTAGGCCCCACCTCCTAAACTCTCAAGAACCTCCCCAAATGGCACTACCAGCTTAGGACCATGTATTTAAAAGGTGAGCATTTGGGGACAATTCGGATTCAAAACATCAACTGTGTCTACCATGCATCTGGCGTTCAGTGAATGTTTTCCAATGAACAACAAATAAGGGCACAGAATTCGAGGACAAAACATCTCACAGGTGTTAAACGAGGTCAATCCTTTGTGGTCTCCCATTCTGGGGAGTCTCTGTGGCTCCTCAGCCCGCCCCACTAAACAATAGTTCAGAGGCAGGTCTAAGGGACGACAGTGGCTGCTCTCAGCTCTTTTGATCCCAGGCCTTGTTTCTCTGAGCCTGCCACTGTTGGAACCCCTTGAGAGGGCTGTACCTGTCAACCAGTCAAGGGAGGCATAAGAGCGGTGACCAGGGTGAGCACTCAGCCCTGGTATCTTCCTGAGAGAGGGCAAGGCTGGAATGTTGGGCTTGGCCTAGCTAGTGTTTATTCTTGAGCCATGGAAGGATTTTCTTCCTGGAAGTTGAATACTTAGGTAATATCAGGATCCTCTTGGCAAGAAATAAAAAGGGGGGATGAATTTGCAGTCAGCTCTTCCCTGTTACCGGAATTATGAATTCTACGTGGTGCCAGATTGGGGCTAGGCCAGGTAAAATGTCAAGGTAAAGCTTGCACCGCTAAAGGCTGACTCAACACTCATCAGGTAGACAGGGCAGGAAAGAACATCCCCTTCTGGGAAGAAGGAACGGGAACAGCAAAAGGGACCTGGTCTGTCCCAGACACGATAAAGGAAGGATGTGTCAAGCCCACAGAGAGAGTAAGATGTCAGGCAAGTGAGTGGAGGCTCAGAGGGTTCCCACGGGCTACTGGGAGCCCTGGCAGGGATAGGCAAGGGAGCGCCTTCACCTACACTTGGGAGAGATTCTGCCAATGGTATGACAACCTTGCAAACAGAAACCTGGGGCTAACGCCATGCCATACTTGCAGCCTAACACTTTGGGGTTCTGGGTCAACTCTATAGGAAGCTGGTCTTAATAACCCTCATTCTAGAAAGCA